GGTGCACCCCCCGTGGTCCTGACATCCTTGCTCGTGTTCTCCCTCCATCTGCTCCTCATTGGGACCTTGGGAGCTCAGTCCAGTGCTCCAGTGTGGGTCTCTGTCTCTATCTCCATCCATCACCAGATGAAGGTTCTATGGTGATATGAAAGATATTCGTCAGTATTGCTATGGGATAGGGTCATTTCAGGTTCCCTATCCTCCGCTTCCCAAGGGACTAACTGGGGACATCGCCTTGGGCTCCTGGGAGCCACTCTAGGTTCAAGTCTCTTGAACCTAAGGTGGCTCCCTTAACTAAGATATGTGCTTCCCTGCTCCCCTATCCAACCTTCTCAGAAGCTTCTTATACAGGAAAAAGAATGTTTGTAGTCTGACTGGTTTATTATCTGTCTTCTGCTTTGATGTTTAACCATTGCATATGAAAAATAGTTAACTTTCTGGGTTTAAATTTGTCTGTAAAATCAAGGTATATTTGATAGCTGTGTATTTGAATGTTGCTTTAGGGATCACATACATGAAAATAGCATAGGCATTGGTAAATAGTAATTGTGTACTTTTGCATGTTTCTTTTGTGATATTTAGTGAAAGACATACAGTAGTCTTAGATAAGTATTCACTATAAGTTCTACACACAGTAGTATTAGATATGCACTCTATATAACTTACACTTTTTGGTTTTACAGAAATCTTCTCTACATTTACCCTCAAAGTCTTAATTTTGCCAATCGTCAAGGTTCTGCCAGAAACATCACAGTCAAAGTCCAGTTTATGTATGGAGAAGATCCAAGTAATGCAATGCCGGTAAGAAACATTCTTTATTGTTTCTCCTTTTCATACTTTATTGAAATAGCTGAAGCTTTTGCTTTGTCTCGTATCACTGACTGGCAACTGTAAACTGGAATTTAATGTGATCCCTTAAACCAAAATTCCAACTGTGAAACTTCCTTAATATAGTAATATGCTTAATTCTAATTATTTATGAGTACTTGGCTTATGTTAAGCACTCCTAGAGATGCAAAGATGAATAAATCTATAATCTAGAGAACGTACTGCAGTGAGAGAACTAGGAACTGCTCTCAGAGAACAGGTAACTTTCCTTTTGTCTCTTGTGATCTGATTTTCCTTAGTGACCTGCCCTCCAGAATGAATGGCAGGTGAGGGAGGTAGGAGGTGATGTTGTCGTTTGCAGATGGGTCCTGGAGAATAAAATATGTGGCTCTTTTCAGCTGTGAAGAAAACTGACCATCTTGGGTACACACTAGATCCTTCTAGGAAGTAGTAGGCAAAACTCCCACTGCCCAGGCTGAATCTTACTGTCATTAACTCACCTCTGTGGCTTAGTTTAAAAGTAGTAATTTAGAAATTTCTCAGCAAGTGATTAAAATTTTTACCAAATGTTGAGAATTCTGATATGTGTTATTGGAAGCCAGATAGAGTCAAATGAAAAGGTGGGAGAGGGTGGCTAACAGATGACAAGCGGGCAGCTTATGAAGAGGGTCCTGTTGTAGAGAGAAATGGTAATGGCAGTGCATCAGGAGACTGGAGTGAGGAAGGCCCGTGCTCCTGAGAACGATGAGTACAGCGAAGCCAGCGGGAGTCAGGGAGATGTAGACGAGTTAGGAGTCTTCTGTGGGTAGCCTTCAGTGATTCTGAAGTGATTCTACCAGAATTGCCATTGCTAATGAAGTGGGGCCATTGAAGTTGGAAACAGATGGGCATATGCTATGGCAGATTTAGCCTCAGACAATGTTAGTGTAATGAGAATGCTTAGCTGAGCATGGGTGCATTGTTCGTGGGCCTTATGTTATCCTTCAAATCTGTCTTTTAATGAAGTTCTTTAGATTGTCTTCTTTCCTGATGCCTCAGTTGTATCCACTTGTAGCTCTCCTTGTCATCAGTGTACACAAATTATTCATCTTTGTATTCTCTTGGGCCTGTTCTTTCAGATCATTACATATAACATGTTGAGTTGAATAAATATTTATTGAATAAATATGGAATTTATTTCTAAGGCTTGAAATTAACATTTTGTTCTTTATTAGATCCTTATTTCTGCTAAATTAATGTGTTTTAATCGAGGTAATATACTGTAAAAGCAGATACCCTATATGAATTGTGTGTTTGAGCTTTATGAAAGATGTTGTATATGTCAAAGAATGTTGCATTGTTTACTTATCAGTGTTCTATGTCTTAACTTATTTCTGGCTTCTTTCACATAGCAATGGGTACATCCCACCTGTACTGGCAGTTAGACCCCTCCCTTTCTGATGTTACAGCATTTTCTTTCATAGTATGGTTGCATGGTTATTCATTGTATGCATTAGATTGTGAGCTCCTTGAGGGCAGGGACCTTGTCTTATTTATATCTGTATCTTAATGCTTATCATAGTGCTTGCCTCTTAATTATTGCTCAACCTTTGTTGCTCAGGGACTAAAATACATGCCAATGATCAAAATGGAACATACTCTACTTTGTTCTGTTCTTGTTGCATAGATAAATATTTTGCTTTGTGAAAAGAGATAGCTTCTAAAGGAAATAGGGTGCTGTGTTCCTTTCATCTGTATATTATTATTTATATGTATATAATTTTAGTGTAAATGGATTGCTATGAAAATATATGTATATATGTATGGGCATAATGTATATGTTTATGTTTTTGAAATATAACTATTCAGGGGATCCCCATAAATTTTTGATTATATTATTGTTAGAATGACAAAACTGTAAAAGTTTGTAATTATGGCACTAAAATAAAATTTTATAAAAGTATATTAAGGTAACTAGGTTTGGTGGTGCATGTCTTTAATCCCAATACTTGGGAGTTCTGATATGGGTACACACTAGATCCTTAAAACCAGCCTGAGCTACATATCAAATTCAAGTCCAACCTGGGCTACATAGTAGGATCCCATCTCAAATTAAAGTAAGAATGAAATAAGAAGAAACATACTAAGGAATTGGAACATTATCTAAAGGATAATTACTGTATTTGTTGTTCCTTTAAAACAGAAGCACCGGCTTGAAATGTCAGAAAAAGAAACAAACGCTGATTACCTCCTTTACAGAAGGAGTAAACTGAATTTCCATTGGATGATAGACGTGTACTGACCTGCATGTGTAAAGATAGCCACATTTACAGCGTTCAGTCTGTGGCGCTTCTTGACTGTACTGTTAACAGTAGTCATACCAGTGACATTGACACAGTCTTTAATTAATCTGTGTTCCTGGCTCAGTAGTTTTACCACTAAGATTTCTGTGTATGTACCCTACATTTTTTTAATGTGGTGAATTTTAAAAATAATAAAATACACAAGTCCAAAATGGAGCACGTCTTTTATGAAGTACCTTGCAGGCTGTACAAGATGTAAAAGATAAAAAGCATGACCTAAAAGTCTTTTATATCATTTATAAAGAACTGGTATTTGACCTTGAGAATGGCTCTCATGTTTTACCACCACTCTGTAAAGTATATTTATGCCACCGTGCTTTGGTAATTTTCTTATTATAAATTGGAAATGATATCTTATACCCAGAATATTTTTTTTTTTTTTTTTAAGAAAAAGGAAAGAGGGCTGATGCTGTGGTTCAGTTGCTAGAAACCTTGCCTAGCATGCATGAAGCCGGGGTGCATAAAGCTAGGTGTGGTGGCACAAGCCGAAAATCCCAGCGCTAGAGTCAAAGATATCCTCAACTACATGTGGGGTTCAAGGCCACCCTTGGTTACTGAAGCCCTGTCTCAAAAAGTGGGGAGGGGAAGAGAAAAAAAAATATATCTTATTACTCAGTAGATAGAGATGTAATTATAGAAGCTTTCTGAACGGTGGAATGTCAGATGGGTCTATCACTGAAAAGAAATCTGTAGTTGAGCAGTTAAGCTTTTGAAGATCGTTAAGTAGGCACATTGTTCTTCACTGGGCCATTTTAGCCCATTTTCTCAAGTAGTTATTAAAGCATACAAATTCTTACATAGATATGAAACATCCAGCATTTATTACAACCAAGTTTCAACATGCTGTTATTTGTTACAGGTAATCTTTGGTAAATCTAGCTGTTCAGAGTTTTCAAAGGAAGCCTATACAGCCGTAGTATATCATAACAGGTACTGAATTACAATATTTCTTTCAAAGTTACTCACTTCTTAGTGGCATTGTTAGCACTCACATTAGTATGTTTACCAAATGCTTTGCTGCACTGAATGTGCCAGATTCACAGCTGACATCACAATGACAATTTTCTGTCTGTAGATTCACAGTTCTTCTTTGCAGAAGTCTCAAATGTAATGCTTTATAAAAAATAAAAGCATCTTTTTAAAAAAATTCTATTTCTTCCTGTAGGGTTATTGATTAATATTTTGGCCTCTGATTCTTTGATCTTTGACTATTATTTTTCCCAGACACTTTTTCATTTTGTTGAGCTCTACTGTGTTCAAGCCCATTGAAGTAGTGATGTGTTCAATATCCCACCATCCTTTGGTTTAGTGGCTCTCCAGTTTTACTTCTATAGGAAATTGCTAACCTTGGAGAGCTTTTATTTTCTTTTTTCTGTGTTGGTGTGTGTGTGGGGGGGTGGGTGGATGGGTGGTGGTTATTGAATGTAGTTAAGAAGGAAATCACGAAATTGTCCTGCTGGGTTGGCTGTTGCAGAGCTGTGCTGTTGTATCTCATGTTGGGGCTACAGTCATTTGTTTATCTCCTGTTAGCTTCTTTTTTACAGTCTTCTTGTGATCATCTTTTTCTGGTTTTATTTTGTACTTTTTTTCCTCACGAACCCGTAGCTGCTGGGGTTTCCTGCAGCTTGTCTTTCTTCTGCATTTCTAGCTTACTGATTATGGATGTCAAACTTGAGATATATTTTGACATTTATGCCCAACGTAACGTCTCTGTTCACTGCCTGAAATTATCTCTGCACTTGTTTGCCTCTCCTTCTCTGTCAGCAGTAGCAGTGGCCCCTGTCCTGCTCAGTGTGACTCACTCACATCTGCTCCTCGTCTTGTTCCACTTCTTCCGAATAGGGGTCAGCTCCTGCCTCTTGCCCATCGCAGTTGTTTCATGGCGCCGTCTATTACTCAGAGTGAAGCTCATCTTCACGCATAGCAAATGCTGGTCTGTCCCTGGTGCTTTATATGACACATGCTTTTGTGCTCTCCTTCCTTCCTTCCTTCCTTCCTTCCTTCCTTCCTTCCTTCCTTCCTTCCTTCCTTCCTTCCTTCCTTCCTTCCTTCCTTCCTTCCTTCCTTCCTTCCCTGTCTGGTACACATTTCAGTTTCTGTCTGCTTCTTGAGATTTTCTATCTATAATGATTTTTTAAAGTATAGGCAGTTCCCACAAAATACTAAAACTTTGCTCATAATTCTTAGTCTCTCTAGACTCCTCTTGAGTGATCCTATCTGTGTCTTTCTGCTACATTCAGTGACAGCACTTCTACTTGAGCATTTATACAGAGCGCTTCCAAATCCTTTCTAGTCCTGACCATTTGTACTCAAGCATCTTTTCACTGATGGACAAGACACTGGTTTTTGTGTCCTCCCTTCTTGGTTTCCATGTTTGTCTTCATGACTCTCTTATTTTCAATGATGATACCACTATTTTTCTGGTTCAGAATTAGACATCTTTTACCTTTTACTTCTGCTCTCTGATTTTAAGTCTTAAAACTCTTCTTTCTGCCTTTTGTGCCATCTGTTTCTGGACCTTTCTTAGAATTGTGTTTACTAAACTCTATATACTTTTAAGGCCTGTATCAAATATCTTATTCTGATCTCAAACTTGAAATAATTTAACTTTGTTCTTGAAGTGTTAACCTTATGTACTTTACATCAAGAGTTAGCAAACATTTTCTACAAAGGACTCGGCAGTGTATGTTCTAAGCCTATGGCCACATACCACATCTCTTGCAGCCAGTGAATTCTGCCACTATAGGACAAAAGCACCATAGTCAGTAAGTGATGTTACAGTAACATGGTGTGTCTGTGTCCTAATAAAACTTTATTATGAACACTTAAATTTGAATTTCATATTAAGAAATATATGATTATTGTTATTATTTTGATTCTTGAAAACCATTTAAAAATATGAAGCCCATTCATTATCTTCAGTCTCTGTAGAACAGGTAATGGACTGGGCTTGGCCTGTTACCATTTGCCAACCCTTGTTTTACAGTACCTTTTGACATCTGTGTCCATTCATATTCCTACTAAGTCATACGACTTTAAGGGTATTGTTGTCTTATCTTTAAAACAACCACACAAAAAATATGTAGCATAAATATGAGAAACCATCAGTAATTTCTACAGATGCTTGTTATGTGATTTCACAAAGAAATTAACCCAAACACCATATACCAGGAGATATATTTCTATAAAAATAACGATTTCTGAAAGTTTCTCAGTTTGATTGGGTCATTATTATTATTATTATTAAGTACTAGTGGAATTAAAATGACAATATCATCTGACATTGCTTAAATATAAATTAAATTTTTATATTTCATTAATGATTGGTGAACTTAGTAATAAGATACACACCTTTAAAAATGTTCAGCCAGTCATCAGATTTTCAGCTAGCATTAGCTGTTTCCTGTTATCATTAATTAAGTCCTTGTTCCACTTAATATATCTGTGATCACATCCACACCTGTTAATGTAGTTTTGAGCTTTATTTGGACAGGAAGAAAATTGGCTGATTGATATCTGAGGCAGAAACTACCTTACAGGAAGGACAACCTTCATTTTAAAGGTGTCTGGAACCATGTGACTTAGCTATATTTCCATTGATATAATTCGGAAAGATGCCAAGAATGGAGAATTGATATACCTCTACTGAGTTCTTTTTATTTGTTTTATGAAAAAAAAATAACAACCAACCATGATTCTATTAAAGTGCCCCTTGAGACCACACCCTTCCTGTTGAGATGAAGCATCAGGACAATCCAGCATGGCATTCTCTGTATTAGTGTAATGGTTAGGAGCACTTTTACACTGTTGGATAAGTACAATTTGTGGACTTTCTCTGATTGTGACTTTCTTTGTTTTTTTTTGTGTCAGCAGTAGTCTGTTTGCTAACATTTACTCCTTTAACGATGTAACATTTGAGAAAAAACATTCCACAAAGAGCCTAACTTTATAGTGTTAAGGTATCTTTAAAGATACCCCCTCCCAAAGGGTGATTGTACTCCTACAAAAGGGAGGTGTTTTCCTGTGATGTGGCTTGAAAGTGTATACCTGCAAAACTCCTTTGACTTTTCTGTGCAGTGTGCGCCAGATTTGGTTCATAAATGTAGTACAGCACCAGCATGAGAAGATTGCAGCACCTAGGCAGTGATTATTAATGAATTCTCTAATAGTAGGGTGCCTTAGCTTATTAATGAAAATGTGATGAACAACTTCAGAAACAGTGTTAGCTCCCTCATCTGGAAGGAGAAGTTAATTATTTAGAAATTAAGAACAATAAAAAAATATCCTGGAGTAGAAGAAAAATAATGCATGAACCTAAAAGTTAATCTTAAGATCATTCAGATAAGCAAATGTAATAATTATTCATTTGAACAAATTATTGACTATTGATTTTTTGTTTTTCTTTGATTTCTTTGCACGAAGGTCTCCTGATTTCCATGAAGAAGTCAAGGTTAAACTCCCCGCCACTTTAACTGACCATCACCACTTGCTCTTTACCTTTTATCATGTTAGCTGTCAGCAGAAACAGAACACGCCTCTAGAGACCCCAGTCGGATACACAGTAAGTCTTTATGTTAATGTTTATAGTAAGGAATCTTATGCATAATAAAACATTTATAAATTTAGTATTCAGTGGATGTCTTCTGTTGTTTGATTATCTGTAATGCCTAAACTCACACTTGTAAGGAAGCTCACAGATGCTCATGGTGTCCTTAGCTAGTTAAGGTCATAAAGGTTTACATGATCGTTGTCTGAGTCAGAGTGTTTTCCTAACAATGCAGTATAAACATAATAGATTTAATAGAATGATTTGAATGAAGACAAATAAAAGAAACCCATAAACAAGAAATTAAAGCCTTTGGACATTTTTTTAAAATTATGGTTAAATTGCCAAGGTTAAAGCACAGTGAAAGCCAGCATGAGGTGTCATCACGCAATAATAAAATTATTATAATTTATCCAGCTCAAAAAATGGAATTCATAGTTGATTCAGTAATTTTGTCTCTTATGTTTGAGACAAGAATTATGGTCACTGTAAGGAAATAAATTATGTTCTTACTTTCCCCCAAGCATTCATGGGTTTCTCTATATACCTTACAACTACTGTTTTTAAATTGATTCATTTTGTAGCCTTTTCTAGAACTGATTCTTCCTTGGATAATAAGGCCCCATACTAAATATTGCATGTTAAAATAGTCATAGTTTGGGAATCTTCATTAATTAAATACCACCAGGGAAATGGAATGCTGAAGGCCCATTGTTGATATGTGAGAAATTTGGGTTGTGTCACATTCTTAAAGCAGACTGTCCACACAGCGATTTCTGAAACAGACAGTGTCTCTTTTCGTTTCAAGTGGATACCTATGCTGCAGAATGGACGGCTGAAGACTGGGCAGTTCTGCCTGCCGGTCTCATTGGAGAAACCACCCCAGGCTTACTCAGTGCTCTCTCCTGAGGTCAGTGCATCTCTGCTTGTTCAGGTCTCCAGACTGAAAGAAAAAAAAGATAAAAGAACCAAACAAACATAACGATGCTTACCAAACAAAACTTTGCTGTTTTTTCTGTGTGGACGTATGTAATGAAGCAATGTTTTTTTTTTTTTTTGTTGATAATTAGCAATTTTTCTTTCTAAAATGTTGACACTTTTAGCTAGATGTGGTCGCAAGCTAACTCTTAATCCTCCTGATACAGGAGGATTGACACAGGTTTGAAGCTAGCCCAGGATGCATAGTGCATATATGTGTGGTATATTTGTATGTACATGTATTTGTATGTAGCTAGGCCAGAAGTAAACATTGGTATCATCCTGAATCATTTGTTAATTTTTTTTAAGAAGGACCCTGTCATTTTATTTTTTTTTATTTTTATTTATTTTTTTTCATTCAAAAATTTACACTTCCTCCCCTCCTCCCATTCTTGCCCCACACCCCCACTTACCCTCCTCCATCCCCCTCCCTCCTTAAGAGAGGGCTGGGAACCCTGCCCTGTAGGAAGTCCTAGGCCCTTCCCACTATATCCAGGCCTTGGAAGCTTTGCATCCAAATAGACTAGGGTTCCAAAAAGCCAGTACGTGTAGTAGAAACAAGTCCCAGTGCCTTTATCAATGGCTTCTCAGTCAGCCCCCATTGTCAGCTACATTCAGAGAGTCTGGTTTGATCACATGCTTGTTCAGTCCCGATCCAGCTGGATGTGGTGAGCTCCCATTAGAACAGGCACACTGTCTCAGTAGGTGGACCAACCCCTGCGGTCCTGACTTCCTTGCTCATCTTTTCCCTCCTTCTGCTCTTCAACTGGACCTTGGGAGCTCAGTCCGTTGCTCTGATGAGGGTCTCTGTCTCTATCTCCATCCATCGCCCGACGAAGATTCTATGGTGATATTCGAGATAATCACCAGTGTGATAGTGGGGCAAAGGCCAGTTCAGGCACCCTCTCCTCTGCTGCTCAAGGACCTAGCTGGGGATATCCCCGTGGACACTTGGGATCCCTTCTAGAGCCAAGTCATGCCAACCCTAAAATGGCTCCCCCCCCTTTTTTTTAAATGGCTCCCTTAATTAAGATATCTTCTTCCCTGCACCCATATCTTCCCTTTCTCCATCTCTGCCATCCCACTCTCCCAAGGTCTTCCCAATCTACCTCCTTCTCCCTTCTCTCTCTCCCCCTCCCCCCTTCTCCCATCCCCACCCCAACACCTACCCCCACCCCCATGCTCCCAACTTTTGCCCGGCGATCTTGTTTGCTTCCAGTATCCAGAAGGATCTATATATGTTTTTCGTTGGGTTCACCTTGTTATTTGGCTTCTCCAGACTTGCGAACTATAGGCTTAATGTCCTTTATTTATGGCTAGTGTCTACTAATGAGTGAGTACATACCATATTCATCCTTTTGGGTCTGGGAAATAGAAAATAGTGTTTTCTATTTCCATCCATTTGCATGCAAAATTCAAGATGCCATTAGTTTTTACCGCTGAGTAGTACTCTAACGTGTATATATTCCACACTTTCTTTATCCATTCTGCCATTGAGGGGCATCTAGGTTGTTTCCAGGTTCTTGCTATTACAAATAATGCTGCTATGAACATAGTTGAACAAATGCTTTTGTAGTATGATTGGGCATCTCTTGAGTATATTCCCAAGAGTGGTATTGCTGGATCCTGAGGTAAATTGATTCCCATTTTCCTGAGAAACCACCACACTGATTCATAAAGTATCTTGGGGTTACACTAACCAAGGAAGTGAAAGATCTATTTGACAAGAACTTTAAGGCTTTGAAGAAAGAAATTGAAGAGGACTCCAGAAAATGGAAGGATCTCCCATGCTCTTGGATGGGTAAGATCAACATAGTAAAAATGGCAGTTCTACCAAAGGCAATCTATACATTCAATGCAATCCCTACCAAAATCTCAACAAAATTTTTCACAGACCTTGAGAGAACAATAATCAACTTTATATGGAAAAATAAAAAACGCAGGATAGCCAAAACAATCCTATACAATAAAGGAACTTCCGGAGGCATTACCATCCTTGACTTCAAACTCTATTACAGAGCTACAGTAATGAAAACAGCTTGGTATTGGCATAAAAACAGAGATGTTGACCAATGGAATCGAATCGAAGACCTGGATATTAACCCACGAACCTATGAACACCTGATTTTTGACAAAGGAGCTAAAAGTATACAATGGAAGAAAGAAAGCATCTTCAATAAATGGTGCTGACATAATTGGATGTCAACCTGTAGAAGAATGAAAATAGATCCATATCTATCACCATGCACAAAACTCAACTCCAAATGGATTAAAGACCTCAATATAAATCCAACCACACTGAACCTGATAGAGGAGAAAGTGGGAAGTAGACTGCAACATATGAGTACAGGAAACCACTTCCTACATATAACCCCCATAGCACAGACAAGAGCAACATTGAATAAATGGGACCTCCTGAAACTAAGAAGCTTCTGTAAAGGAAAGGACATTGTCATTAAGACATCGCTGTGTTCATTTCAGAGATGCTCACCCACTGACTTAAGTACCATTGCAAATACAGGAATCCTACTCCCATGAAAGCTATCTTGTACAGACAAGAAACAGATAAACATGAACAATCAATGGCAAAAGTACATGCTTTCTACTCCCAGCTGGCTGTTTATATGGCTCTGTTATACAGAAACATGGCCTTTTTCCTAAGAGTAAATACCTTGTACTCTTTTTTTTGGCTATTGTTTTAGACAATTTCAAAGGAAGTTTTTTTTATAAGAAAGTGTATTTTGGTGGAAGTTATGGATTTATTTTTACTAGATAATTTGCATGTGCATGATCAGTTTCTGAAGGACAGCCAATGGTTTTCTTGTAGGAGCTATAGTATGTATGTTCATATAAGAACATGCCAATAGTGCATAGTGTGGGTAGGTTATACCTGAACCGAGAATCAAGAATAAAAGTTCTGGAATTGGAGCAATAGATTGATCAGTGGTTAAGACCGGTGGCTCTCTTCCAAAGGACCCAGGATTGATTCTCAGCACCCACATGCCAGTTAACTGTTGTCCCAGGGGATCAGATGCTTTTCTGGCCTCCATGGGCACTGTGCACATATGATGCACAGACATGCATGCAAGCGAGATACCCATACATATAACAATAAATAATAAATTAAAAAATAAGGATAAAAGTTCTATAATGGAATATATGTATGAAGGTGCTATAGTGAAACCTTCTACCTTGTATGCTAGAATTCATGATATGCTAAACTTTTAAAAAAGTGTGATAATAAACAACTATAGATCCTGCTTTTTAAACTTTCTTTTTACTTATTCTATGTGTCTTTTACATCTTGTATCTCGATCCCCTTTCATTTTCCCATCCTTTCACATTCTCCCTCCACCCCTGCAAAACCCCCCAATAAAACAAAATTTAAGAGAAAAAGGGGAAATATGAAGAATCTCCGTCACAGAAGCTGCAGTGTGATACGGTGGGTCACACAGTCAACCCCTTTGTTCATATATCTTTACTTGTAAGTGTTCATTGCAAAGAGTCTGGTCCAAGGCATCTGGTTTCCACTACCTATCAATGCTGGGCCCTCACTGGGCCTCTTCTTGTATATTCTTTGTTACCCTGTATTGTGGAGGTCCTGCAGCTTTGGGTCTGCAGGACAGGCCCCTTCACATGCTCCAGCAGATCATAGATGGGGTGGATGTTGGGGTGGGCCAGGTCATAACCCTTATTCTGGGCAGCTGTAGGATTGGTGCCCAGCGAATTCTCTCTGTTTTGCCCGGGCTAATTCACCTCTTGAAACAATGAATGAGGGGCGGGGTGGGAGTGGGAGTGTGTGTTCTGCTTTCATGGTCTCAGGGTTGGCTCTCCTACACCAGTACCATAAGGGACAGCTCTATTGTCTTACCCAGGCTAGGTACAGGGGCCACTGTCCCTGAGTGCTGTACCTGGTAACGGATAGGGAGGTGGAGAACAACTAAAACAAATTCTGCTTGAAAATATAATGATGCCTAATGCTTTGAATACTAATTTTGCAAAAAAAAAAAACCCCTGAGAATCATATATAGTGTTAGCTTCAGTGCTTATAGTAACTGAAGTAAGGATTTTAAAACTCTTAATAATTGTTTATTGCAATTTTGTATTTTCTTGATTTCGCTTGAACTCTATTTCCTGGCTAAGGTCTAATGCGCTTTGAGTCTCTATACATAGAATCAGAAACCTCTGTATTCCTTTGATTGTGGTAGGGGTAGACAGCATCTTGATATGTAGTCCACGCTGTCCTCAGTCATCTTGTGATCCCTTTGCCTTAGCCTTACTAGTACAGACATGTACCACCACATCTTGGATCATAGGTCTGAGATTCAGCCTGCCTCTGCCTGCTTGTGCCCCTCCATTCCCGCCTTCCTATGCTGAGTGCGGTGCCCAGGGCTTTCCTCTCCCACTTTTTATTATTTTTATTGTGTTATACATTTTTCTCTGCTCCCCCCTTCCTTACCCCTTTCCTTCTACCCTCTCCCATGATCCCTATGCTCCCAATTTACTTAGGAGATTTTGTCTTTTTCTCCTTCATATTTAGATCCATATATGTCTCTCTTAGTGTCCTCATTGTTGTCTTAATTCTCTGGGATTGTGGATTATAGGCTGGTTTTTCTTTACTTTATGTCATTTATGAATGAGTACATATTATATTTGTCTTTCTGGGTCTACATTACCTCACTCAATATGGTTTTTTCTAGATTCATCCATTTGCCTGCAAATTTCAAGATGCCATTGTTTTTTACTACTGAGTAGTACTCCATTGTGCAAATGTATCATATTTTCTTTATTTATTCTTTGGTTGAGGGACATCTAGGTTGTTTCCAAAATCTGGCTATTACAAATAATGCTACTATGAACATAGTTGAGCACATGCCCTTATGGTATGATTGAACCTCCTTCGGGTATATACCCAAAAGTGGTATTGCTGTGTCTTGAGGTAGATTGTTTCCTAATTTTCTGAGATATCGCTATACTGATTTCCGAAGTAGCTGTACAAGTTTGCACTCCTACCAGTAGCGGAGGAGTGTTCCCCTTATCCTACATACTCTCCAGCATAAGTTGTCATCAGTGTTTTTGATCTTGGCCATTCTGAGGGGTATAAGATGAAATCTCAGAGTTGTTTTGATTTGCACTTTTCTGATGGCTAAAGATGTTGAGCATTTCCTTAGGTATCTTTCAGCTCTTTGAGATTTGTCTATTGAGAGTTCTCTGTTTAGATGTATACCCTATTTTTAAAATTGGATTATTTGTTCTTTTGATGTCAAGTTTCTTGAGTTCTTTGTATATTTTGGAGATCAGTCCTCTATCCAATGTAGAGTTGGTGAAGATCTTTTTCTATTCTGTAGGCTGCTGTCTTGTTGACCATGTCCTTTGCTTTGCAGAAGCTTTTCAGTTTCAGGAGGTTCCATTTATTAATTGTTGCTTTCCGTGTCTGTGCTCCTGTACCCAGGATTTTTTACATCCTAAACAAGTGTACCGCCATTGAGCAAAAGCCCTTGCCCATTTATTGAGTTTAAACTTTACTGTTTTATTAGATCTTAATGTAAGTTATATGTACCTATGCTTCAGTACTAAGAAACTAATTTTCCTACTAAACTATTTATTTAATTCACTTGGTAATCATTGTTAAAGCCCTTAAAATGTGTGTGTTTAAATCTAGCTTTATTACTCTTCATTTTCTTAATTTCTTAACTATTTTCCTTTAAATACATGAACCCATAAGCATTATTTTCATGGGGTACCACTCCCAAGGTAGAGTGGGTCAGTTTTATATCATTGTGGCAAATAGCTGAAAAAAGAATATAAAAGAAGTAAATATTACAATGTCTTATAGTTTGCCTGGCTGTACTGCTCTGGTTAGGAGACGGCAGAACATCATGGCATTCTAAGGATGGGAGAGCAGAGTTCTCTACTTAGGACAGAAGCAGAAGAGTTGGGAAGGATACTGAAACATGGGATATTTGGAGCATGTCCACAGTGACATGCCGCCTAGGTTCCACCACCTCACAGTAATGCTGACTGAGTAGAGTTCTCTCTTTGTCGCTTTCTCTCAGACCCAACCTTGGATATAAGGCTCAAATGAAACAAGAAACTTGCTTTATTAGTACTTGTATACAAAGTTTGCCAGCCTATCTGTTTTTTATTCCAGTTTTCAAAGTCTTCATGTTCGATTTGTTAATTCTACCCAGGATCTTAGCTGTGTGTAGCAAAATAAATTCAATATATATACTTGAATTGAAGGGCCCCGGGGGAAGGTAGAAAGAGGTAACGGGGTAGATATAATCAAAATACATTGTATATATGTATAGAATTCCCAAAGAATAAATCAAAGTAGATATTTTCACAGGATTTTTAGTCCTTTAGGTTTAGACTTTAGTTTGATGAGCTCATGATCCATTTGCAAGTGTGTGATTATTCTACTTGGTTTCTTGCAGGTTCCTCTACCTGGTATGAAATGGGTAGATAACCACAAAGGAGTATTTAATGTAGAAGTTGTTGCTGTTTCATCCATTCATACACAAGTGAGGTTTACTGGTTTTTAATAATCAAATTTCACTTAAATGAATTGAACCTGTTATTTATGTCAGCATGTTATTTATGTCTTTCCTGGCTTAAGGAATATATGTTAGTTAAAAACATAGATTTAGACATTTTTTCCATTAACTACCATTGAATACTCTACCCTTTAAATGCCATTGATGTATTTTGAACAATTAGGGACCTTTTTCTTTCTCTTCATTTCTGGTACATGGTAAAACAGAGTAGAAAGCTGTTGCTGGCTCATTTTAATTCTGACAGGCCAGGTATCTCAGGTGGAAAGGTTTTAGAGATTCTTTTTTCCAGGTTCTGGACTGTGTTAGTAGTGAAAAGGAGGGACATTGAATAGCAGCATAAAGGTTCAGTTAGGACGCAAATTCACCAGCAATTTGAATGGAGACCACTTAAAATACAGACTTGTTAAAATATTAAAGATGATTTGCTATTAAATGAATGTTAAAAGAATTCTATGATAACGATAAATAGCAGACAGAATTATCAAGAAGTCCGAAGCAAACTCCTAACAACTGACAGAGTCTGGAGAGGATACTGATGTAGGAACATGGAGCTCAGCCTTCTGTGGCATCAGAGAAACTTGGTGCATAGCACCTGCCATAGGAGCATGGCAGCCGCCACTGCTGTGGTGCACATCCATGCAGTCTAGCCTCCACTAGAAAATTGAGGATAAGTCTTTCATGTCATCATCCCCTCAGACTACAGCTGATGAGGGAGAAGCATGGGTGGAAGGATCTAGCTCCTGTCTTGCATGATATAACAAAGAAGGTAGACTAGGAGCTAAGAGACAGTAAGTTAGGAACAGACGCAGGTTACTAAGGTGTCTGCCATGAGGATCGAACTCCAAAAACAATATCCTCCATCACTCTCAAAGATTCATTTCTTGAGTAACTGATGGTATTTGAGATGACTGTTTTAGAATGATAAGTCAGAAGGCATATATTAGATTGGAATAATTGTTTATATATATTTGTATGTGCTTTTCTTCATTATCAATTAATATGAAATATTGATGTTCTCTAGTTCGTGTGGGTTTGATAATTAACATGGTTAGATTGTTTAGCTCTGTATTTGTTCTTTGTTTTAGGATCCTTACCTTGACAAATTCTTTGCTCTTGTCAATGCTCTGGATGAACACATGTTCCCAGTCCGAATTGGGGACATGCGGATCATGGAAAACAACTTAGAAAATGAACTGAAGAGTAGCATTTCAGCCTTGAATTCCTCACAGCTGGAACCAGTAGTCCGGTTTCTTCATCTTCTGCTTGATAAACTAATACTTTTAGTTGTTAGACCTCCTGTGATTGCTGGCCAAATAGGTAATTAAGTTTACTTGGGATGAATTACAAAATTAAAATTTTGCATTTCTAACTTCAATTAAAAAAAAATGATTTCTCTTTGCGGTGTTTGCAGTGGGAAGAGGTAGGAAGGTGCTGCTGACTTATATGTGCCAGAAAATGATAACGTATTTTTATAGACTTTTAATCAAACTATCAAATTTAGTTAATAGTCAATCACCAAAGTTGTATTAAGCACTTATGATGAATGTGATACTCATAGACATTGTCCAAAGCTTGGTCTCTGCTACTAAGTTCTCATTGTTAAGAACAGTGGTCCATAGACAATCCTGTTGCATTTTATAGAGCTTGCAGTGTATCCATTCTACATTTTCCTCTATTCTCTTTTCTCCGAATCACTCTATTTATTCTCTTTTGTACTCCGAAAAAAGAATTGTTTCTCATTTCCACCCTTTTCCAAATCAAATCTGGGGAAGAAATTGAGCCCAAAAGATACAAGCTGCTCTTTTATTAACGTTTTGGTAGCTGATGGTGCCAGGGAGATGTCTGTTCACAACAATATGTGTTCTTTTAGGGACACTTGTAAGTGGGGGGAGTTGTTGAGTCAGACACTCGGAGATGAATAGGAGTGTGCCTTGTGTTCTGCTCAAGGAGAAGAAACCACATTTGTGCACAGACACAAGATCTTAGGAAGTTGTGTGAAGACTGGGAAGGAGTGTGCTACAAGGTAGAGCTGATATGGGAGACATGAGATAATAGTAGAAATTTCCCGCCTCACTTTCTGAAACCAGAAAATTATTCCGTAGCAGACATTAGCTTTTGAAAGATCTGTCTGTAATTATGGAAGCAATGTGACTACATTTCACCATTAAAGACATACTGTGTAGGGACAGGGGATATGTTTTAGTGGGTGTGTGTATAGCAACTATGAAAGTGGTGTGAGTGTCTGCAATGCCCACATTACTATGGGGAAGTGGGAGATGGAGAAATGGGACTCATTGGAAGCTCATGGGTCAGATACCCTGGCATACACAGTAGAAAGACAGCAAGTGTGTGTGTGTGTGTGTGTGTGTGTGTGCGCGCGCGCGCGCGCGCACCTCATGTGTGCCTGGTACCCAAGGGAGGACAGAAGAGACCTCAGATCCCCTGGAACTGTAGTCACAGATGGTTGTGAGCCACCATGGGGGTGGTGGAAATTGAGTCTGGTTCTTTGGAAGAGTGGTCAGAGCTCTTAACTATTAAGCCATCTCTCTCACCCTGGAGCTGGTTTTGAAAAGGATTCTGCTGATTTGGAGCAGCTACTATGAGGGAAGAAAGGAAAGCTCAACGGCAGACAGGAGGCTGCTAACCCTTTCAAGACTCTCCCTGTCCTTTTAGTTCAGTACATGTTCTTTAATCTTGTAAATAGCCATTTCACTCGGTGACTTCACCTTTAGGAAACTTAGTTGGCTTCATTTATCTGTCCATGATTTTCTGTCCTGATTAAGTAAATCACAGAACTGACACCCTTACTCAGGTGTCTACTTGGGTTTACGTAATTCTCCAATGTGCTGTCAGAATTCCCTGCTTTTAAAAGGTTCTTGAGGAATATCAACATGGAGATGGAGTAGGCGTGTTCTTTGTCATTTCAAGTCTTCTGCGTCTTTCTGTTTTTCTAGCCCTTCCCTTCTAATCTTTTTATAGGTTCAGTAATTTCAGTCAAGTTGCTTACCCACTGTCGTCTTTTCATATTATTGATGTTAATGATTTATTCTCATTGTTATTTTAAATTTCTTTAAAAGTAATATATGCTTATTGTATGCTCTTTAGATTTTCAGAATCATCTTTAAAATGAGAAGTTAATTCTCAAGTTTGTATATGTGATGGATTTCTCTGTGTGAAATGTATTACATCAAGATAATGTGTATCTGTCGAACAGTGTTTTATTTTAACTAATCTAACCTATACATTTTCACATTAAATTCATAAAATATGTTATTTCTCCTTTTGTTTTCAAGAATTTTTGTCAACTATTACAAAATACCAAAATCAATCTACTATTTTTATACCCTGTTGTATCTTATTCCACTTGCAGCCTTTTGTAAAGGGACAGAGCCTTCTTTTTTGTGCAACTGCAAATTTAAAAACATTAAAGCATTAAAATATTTTCTTCTTTCTGAAAAGTTAATCTAGGGCAAGCATCTTTTGAAGCTATGGCATCAATTATAAATCGACTTCACAAAAACTTAGAAGGAAATCATGACCAGCATGGGAGAAACAACCTTCTCGCATCGTATATCTATTATGTGTTCCGCCTGCCCAATACTTATCCTAACTCACCATCACCAGGTATTTTACTCCCCTTAGTACTAAACTGCCCTTCGTGATGTATTCATGCCAAGACTGAGGTAGTTGTGTAGTCTGTGGCGTGTCCCACGCTCACGGCATTTATTTCCTCTCTGATAAGGAGCACGTACAGGGTTGGTTATTGAGGGTATGTTTCATTTTAAAGCATCATTATATATTCAGCTTTAAGTTGAGTTGGAGGGCTTGGTTAAATTAATAATTGAAAATGAACATTGACAATCACTTCACCCATCTTTGAAAACATTTTATCATTTCTTCTTAAAATTAACAGAATATTTTATTTGTCATTTTTAGTGTATATTTGAACATTTAGGGAGATACATGGTAGACTAATAATTTTCTATTAACCCTACCTATAAGGTCTATATTAACATAAAATAATTGTCTAGAAAATTTCCCAATTTCTTCATGACCAGTAAAATAACATAAGCTTTCTGAATATTAAAGGCTCAATTAGTTACTTGTCTTTCATATGATGTTGATGATAGTGGTGTTTGTGAGGGATGTTTGAGTTTGGATTTTCCATTTGGTTTGTTAGTTTATTGTTTAACCTTTGAAACTGCTTATCTGTTTGCTGTATAAGCAATCACTCATCCCTGGTGATGATGGTACGTGCTCCTTTGCAGCTATTGGCAATGGTATTGGTTTAAGCTTTAGCCTAGAATTTTTGTTGTTCCTGTTGAAAGATGAGCATTTGTGTCTTATCCTAACCTATAACTTACTATCTTGATCTTAGCTATGTAACTTGAGAATCTGAGCATGTGAGTCATGGTGCTATACCCAGAATAGAACACCCAGAATGCCACTGCATCTGCCTTTTTGTTTGGTTTAGTAATTAAGAAAAAGTATACACATTAATTAGTTGTCAGATTTGTGTCACTTTCAATAAAAACATTAAAAAATATTCTACAATTCAGAGACATAGATAGAGCTGGGGAGATGGCTTTCTCCATAAAATGCTTGTCAGGCAAGCATGAGGACCTGAGTTTGGGCTCAGAACCCATGTTAAGCCACACGTGGTCTGCACATCTCTAATCCCATAAGAAAACGAATCTGCGGAATCAGTGACTGTCAGGTTGAGAGACCCTGTCTCCACAGTCTAAGGGGACGGGCAAGTGAAGAAGACAGCTCAGGTTGATATCGTGCAAGTGTGCATGCGTGCTCACACCAACACACATATACAAACACTTTTATAGTATACACACGTGTGTACACATACACAAAAAGATATAGATCATTGGATATAATTGCCAGGTATTTTTGTTTGTATGGAACATGTTTGAAAGAAGATAAAATGCTTAATTTTATTTCGACAAACGAATTCTTTGCTTTTTTTTTTATAACCTAGGAAGCTCTTAGAATTGTCTTTAGGTTTGTTTTATGTGAGTGTAAAACAAAGATGCCATTTTGTTATTTTTAACAAATTGCTTATGAAGATAAATAAAGGCATACTTCCATTTAAGTGATGTTGGTAATAAATTGGATGTCCCTATATATGACCATATATCAAGGGCAGAGCCAGAAGTGTAGGCAAAAGGGGAGAGAAGGCCAGCTTCTGCATTTTGGGTCCTGCCACTACTGTGTTTGAGTAAGAACAGTGTTTCTTATTCAGTTTATTTTTTGTTGTTCACATAATATAGAAACATTTAAGAGAGTGATTTTAACATAATTAATATGGTTTGTATCAGCTGTTACAAAGCAGAACTTCATATAGCTGTCACTGGTTCTTGAATGTTTTTATTTCCAATGTTTTTTTTTTTTTCAAAAGACAACCTGTGTTAATTTTTATTTAGAAACCAAAGCAATGCATAATTTTTGTGGGATTTCGTAAAGTGTTCAATTATTTCTTTTGGTCCTTTCCTGGTTTTCTCTTATTAATTGTGTTCCTTATTTACATCTCTAGGTCCTGGGGGTTTGGGAGGATCGGTGCATTATGCCACAATGGCCAGGTCCGCAGTGAGACCTGCAAGCCTTAACTTAAATCGCTCACGAAGCCTTAGCAACAGCAATCCAGATATATCTGGTACTCCCACGTCACCAGATGATGAAGTTCGGTCCATTATTGGCAGTAAGGTAAACATTGCTACCCGTTTATAACAGTTATTCAAGTATTTAATATATTCTTAATGTTAAGATCTATTTGAGTTCAGAATAAGCAAGGAATTGTTTTCTGTTTTACTTGAGTTAGAAATAAGCAAGAAGTTTATATTCTATTCTATCAGTAACTATTTTTCATGTTTCTATTAAATATGTTCTCTGTTATAAACTGGGTTATACATTGTGCATTTAAAATATCAGCCAGATTCTAAAATTTGTTTAGGATAAATCATCACTTATAACTTGTTTGATATCTAATCATGTGAAAAATTCTTAGCTTGACGCTATAACCTGGGGGGGGGGGAACCTGTGTGACTGATGTGTTCAAGAAACAGGCTGTCATTGAGTTCAAGTGGGCATTCCTCCTTCAGAAAAGCATCCAGAATAGTTTCTGGCCTTGGTTGATATTAGAGCTGCATTTCCTATGAACTTGTGTGGACTGCACTAGGATTAGAGAAGTAGATTATGTAACACTGGTTAGTAATTATGCTAGACAAGAGAGAGGCCATCTAGGTTATAGAAGACCCGACCCATCTATACTGCTGCGCACCTCGGCTCTATGCGCTAGAACCCAGTTTGTGAGCTTCAGGCAGGGGGCTGGAGGTTGAGAATACACATGCAGAGACAGACCGACACACTCAACACTGGTACCAAAAAGCCCCCCTTTAATAGCACCATGGAGGCTTAAATACACTGCAGTCAATGGCCAACAGGTGAAAATCCCATCCTCCGATCCTCTAAGCTAGGCACAGCTTCTAGTAACTTCAATTAGAAGGCTCTAGACAGGGAAGAGCAGCTGAAAGCCAGGACTCAATTAGTCCCAACACTATACTTTATTCAGGGCCTCCATTATTATTACACAAAAACAATCAGAAAAAAATTACCTTTATATGCATAAAACACAAAAATAGGCCATGTGGTGGTGGTGCATGCTTTTAATCTCAGCACTCAGGAGGCAGAGTCAGGTGGATTTCTTTGAGTTTGATGTCAGCCTGATCTACAAAGCAAGTTCCAGGACAGCCAGGACTACTATACAGAGAAACCCTGTCTCCAAAAACCAAATCAAACCAAACCTAAAAACAAACAAACAAAAAACTGAAAGATAACTCCGAGTTTAAGCTTAGGAAAGTACTTAAGATTTTTAATCTTGTTTTATCCTCAATTGTTTCTTGTTCAATAGGGGTAGTACTTAGCACTCATACCACAAAGTATAGTTCTGTAGTAGACTAAGACCCATTTGTGAACTACAGATGTTTATTGTCCAAAGGCTATAGAAACCATATCCTTCAAGATAGTACCTAAAAAAAAATCCTTAATTTCTATAGGACTTACATTGTGCTTCATATAACAATTACTCTTTATATATTTGTTGTATAACTTCCAAGATTTAGAGCAAGGAGCAATATTAATTGATTGGGTTTGCTCTTTTATAGGTCATTAAATGGAATGTAGTAACAGTCTATATATACATATTTATATGAAATTAGTATACATATGTGTGTATATACTAATTTCTTTTTTAGAGAAAGGTCATCACAGCATAAAAATTTGTCTTGTAATAGCTCGATTCTGTCTTAATTAATTTTTTTTCTTTTGAGACATTCTCATTATGTAGCCAAGACTGGCTTTGAACTCCTGATCCTCTCACTTCAGCCTCCCAAGTGTTGTGATAACAGGTATGTGCTGCCAACCCAGATCTAATTAAATTTTATTTTAAGTAGTTTTACATTTATTTTCCCTTTGGTGGAAAAATTATAATTATTTGCATATCTTCCCCTAATGTTAATAACATACTTTTATCTCATAAAATGTGAGGTGTCTAAATTTTTGTGTATGTCTAGTCTTTATTTGTTCTTATTTAATTGTCCAGGCAATTCAGTGACCCCTTCTTTAGAGATACTGTCTTGTATCTCTGTCGTGGTCTTTCTTAGCTTAGGTATTTCAGTACCAATAACTTAGTCTTCATGATTTCAGTTTCACGCATTTTGTTGTCTGACCATTCTCTTTTCTTCCTAGTGTCTCAACTGCGGTGGTTTCCCCTTCCTTCCAGCTTCTCATCATTAATCTTGTTTTGTTTTTTTCTGGGAGGAGAGAAGGATGAGTGTCTCACCATTCTTTCTTCCTGCTAACTAGGGAGCCTGACAAGTCAGGACCAGCGAGTATATATTCATTTCACAATCAAATCTCAATTCTGTTTTCTTCTCAAACTTGAAACCGTCATTAAAACCAGTTGACTGCCTCTTTTATGTTTTGAAAAATGCTGGTGTCTTCGTTAGAGTTCTATTGCTGTGAAGACACCATGACCACAGCAACTTTTATAAAGGAAAACGTTTAATTAGGGCTAGCTGGCATCTACTTCAGCATGGTCACATCTCCTAATAGTACCACTCTCTGTGAGCCTGTGGTGCCATTTTCTTTCTACCTACCACATGCAGCTAGCCTCATCTGAAGTTCCCTTACTGCTGTCAGCTAGTCATTTGGTGCTCTTTTCACTAGTTCATTCTGCCGTAGTTTCTTGCCACAAACCACCTAATATTTCCCCTCATGGATTCTGGTCATCATGTCTGCCAACTACTACCTACTGCTTAATCTTCTGAGGGAGGCGAAGCTCCTTGTTCTCAGTCCTCAGCTTCTTCTTGTCTTTTCTTGTCCATCTCCTTTTCTCACCTACTCAGGATTCCCAGTCTTAGAGTTCTTTGATCTCTTTTCCTGTGTTACCAGTGTTTTCCTTTGTATTGAATCATTTTCATCTGAAGACAGGTGTGTTATTTCTCACTTTCAAAATTCTCGGTAGTGTTTCTGCTACTACTCTTTTCTGTGCTGTTTTCTGGTACCTTTGTAGCAGGGAGTAGGGTGGGGAAGTGTCTCTGGAGCCAGTGTTTGGATTAAAGATATGTACAGTAATGCCATCTCTGCTGTCTCTTAAAGTGGAGCACCTTATCCTTTGTATCTTTGCTTCTTTTACTTTGTACACTTTGTGTCTTCAGTTCCTTTACTGTCTTCAATTAACTTTCCTACTGTCTCCCCCAAAACTGCAGATGTTCTCCACCTTGCTAAAGCCAATAGTTATGCATCCAAACTTGGTTTATGTGCCAGTGTCTTTAATTCTTTTTTTCATTTTAAAATTATGTGTTTGTGTGTTTCTGTGAATGGATGTCTGCATGTATATGCAGGTATTTGTGGAGGCCAGACAAGAGCATCAAATTCCCTAGAGCTGGATGGAATTACAGGTAGTTTTGAGCTATGTGGATGCTGGGAGCCCAATTCAGGGCCTTTCTCTGAGTCACATCTCCAGTTCTGCCAGTATCTTTGACACAAATGCTTCTTTTTCATTTAGTTTACTTGGCTTCTCAACCTCTACATTGTCTTAGTTTTTTTGTTTTGTTGGTTTTCTTTTTTGTTTACTGTTTCTATCTTTTCATATTCTTACCTGAGTTCTTCCTTTTCTGATAATCCCTTATTTTGCAAGTCTCTTTTTATTCAGGACGTTTATAAATGCTAGGTAAATCATTCCTCAGACCCCTCTCAGGAATTTCACTTAACTGTTTTTCTAAATCCTTTTTCAGATTGCATATACGTTAAAGGAGAGCCTCACAGTTTTCTGTTTGGTTGGTTTTATTTTCTCTTTTTTCCTGTGCTGGAGGTTGAACTGAAGGCTTTTCATAAAATTTCTTATCACCTCCACCATCTTAGTTTGAGGTGTCAGCATGTCTCCCTGAGTTAATGTGGTAGCCCTGAGATGTTCCTTTACCTTCTGTTACTTTCTTCTGTTCACAACATAACATCCAGAGTGTTGCTTTAAAAATTAAGTTAGATTGTATCCTTGCTGCATCCTTCTGTGGCCAGCTCTCTCAGATCATGTAAGACTTTACTTAGAAGGACTCCTCCCGGTGAGTCTGCCTAAGATTCTTGTTTAATTCTTGTATAGCCAGTGTTTAGTGTTTTTTCCTGTTGCAGTGAGAAAACACCTGGATGGAGGGAGCATTTACCTTATTTAGTTCCCACTTCCAGGTTGTAGTTCATTGTGGCAGGGGAGTCACAGTGGCACAAGCTTTGCGAGCTGGCCAACTTGCACCTTTGATATAGAAGCAGAGGGGTGATTGCTGGTCTCATCTCATCTTCTCCATTTTATATAATTTAGGATCTCCTGCTTACAATTAATATAGGCTTTCACATACCATTTAGTGTACTCCAGACAGTTCCCCCACAGGTATGCCCAGAGGGCCTTCTCTAGATTCTCTACAGTAGATAACTAATACTAATCATCACAAGTCCAGCCACTGTCAGTTGGGCCTTCAACAAATCACTGTGAAACTAACCAACTACCCCTTAGCACTGTAGGCTTGTGACCAAGTTATAATATAAAATACGTTCATTCCATCTTTATAAATCCTGATAGTGATAGTTTCTACCCTTTAAATTCCAAATCTCTCACTAACAACAAAGCAAGCAAGCAAACAAACACACACAGGTTAAATACTTCCAATATATAAATATATAAAGACTCCCTTCCCCAAATGGAAGAACAGGGATATAGCAAGAAACAGTAGCACCAAAGCAAAACCAGAATCTATCTGGGCAACGACCAAATATTGCAGCTCCGTGCCTGGCATCTGGGGCTTGTAATATAGTCCACTGGATTCCAAAAGGCTTGAGTAACTCCACCCCTCCATATCTGCTTCCCTTGAAACACTTAGATTCTCTCCTAGGCCAGCTCCACATCCACAGTTCTCCTTAATTCATGATTTTGGAATCTCCAATATCCAACTGAGGTCTTCATTGAAACTTAGGCTTTATCTTCTTAGCTTTGCACAATGGCCTCTCAGGGCCTCCTCCATGGACTCCAACACTGTTGTATATTGTCTGCCATCAGCTGCTTTCCATGGCCTTCTCTGTCTTGCAACTTTTATGCTTTGGAAAGCAGGGTCAGGTGGTTGGCGCTGCCAAGGTATACTGTCACTTCAAGATGTAGTCTGGGTTCCTGGGACACACTCAGCTTCAGCTCGCTGACCCCAGGGATACACTTTACTAGACAATTACTTTTAATGATCAGGGAACCCACCAACTTAAGCTTTTTTCTTTAAATGAATTTCTGTTTTCACAAGATGGAGCCTCTGAGGGGTCAAGATGTCTTTCCTATTGTCCTAGTACCACACAGCTGCTTTCTCATCACCATCTGACCGCTCCTGCAGGAAATTTCCGGTGCCACATGAATGAATCCGTCCATTATCTTTAGCTTCAGCTTTGCTCAGGTTCTCAGGACATAGGCAAAATGGAACCTCATTTTTGACCAGAATATGCATGCTTGCTCCTCCTAGCTCAAATCCTGACAGAGTTCATGTTACCCCGGAGACCTCACAGGCAAGTCTCTCACTGTCTGATTCCTGCAGAATTCCTATCTTCCTGCCTGAGTCCCCATCAAGAATAGCTTTCAAAGGGTTGTCCACCTACAAGTTAAGACAAAATAATAGTACTAGCCTTAGGCAACTGGGTACCTTTTACTTTTTCCTTGTTTCTTGGAGGTCTGGAAAGATGGTACATTAGTATCTCTCTGTAATGAATTTGTTTAAGGATTGTTACATTTTATATATAATTCAGTTTTATAACACTTGAAATGTGAAAGTTATTTGCTTCACAAACAACTGACTACATGTCTTTAATTATGTTTTGATATAACTGGTCACAGCATTAGTGTTGTATGTGAAATATAACTGGCAGCAAACTGGTATTTTAACCTGATGTTGAGATTACCATATAATGATTTTAAGAAGAAATTATTAAACAAGGTTGCACATACATTTGAGCAAACAGTATACTTATTCTCATCAAAAAATAAGTAATTCAAAGACAAAATTTCAATCTCTAGAAAATCTTTGTATAAATGTATTTGTCATTTTTAGGACATCACACTTTGACTTTTCTTAAAACAAGAGAAGACTTGTTATTTCTATTTTGTGGATGAGAAACAGTTAAAAAAAAGTCATTTGTTTTAGACTTTTAAATTAGTAAGCAAGACAGCCTGTATATGAACCTTAACTCCCATCTTTGATAGTGTCAAAAATGAAGGAAAATTAGTTAGGGTTTTTATTGCTTTGAGGAAATACCATGACCATGGCAACACTTATAAAGGAGAACATTTAATTAGGACTGGCTTATATTTCAGAGGTTTAGCATGGTGACATTCAGGCAGACATATGCTGACTTGATCATCTGAAACATCAAAGCCAACCCGCAGTGAGACCCTCCCTCCAACTAAATCACACCTACTAGGCTGCTCCTCAGGAGCCTGTGGGGTCAGTTTCACTCAAGCCATCACATTCATCACTTCAGCTGCTCTGCATTTGGGAAGAAAAGAGAGTAGAGAAAATATTCTCCCTAAAGTCAGAACTCCAAGCAATGGTTATTTTTCCTTTCTTTTGCTTCCATTTTAAAACTTCTCTTGAGATGTTAAAAAATGTACTTCTGTATAGGCTTTACCTTCATCTATTCTGTTTTATGGTGGGGCCTGGGGCCAGCACATTTGCTTTTGCTGCTGGGAATCTTCCTAAGGAGCCTGCTGTCTCGATAGAACTGGTTACCACTGTGCCAACATTTTTTTTTTTCCCCAACATTGGTAGTTTCTAGTTCCAGTATACTCTCTGCTTTAGTATTTTTAATCAGGTTGCTTTGGGTTATCTCTGTAATTATGCCCTTAAATCCTCCAAACATCTGTTACAACTGCTCCAACTCCACTTAGCAGGTTCTCTGCCATTAGTTGAGTTTGAAGTCAGGAAGTTGAGGGGTAGAGCACAGAATGTGAGTTTTATAAAGAATTTTTACATGACTCCGATGGTCTCTTAGGCTTTGGAAGTTGAAGTCAAGCCTCAGCTAAAATCACCAGAAATCAGTAATCTCTTTCAGAAAAAAGTATGTCACTTCTGGCATATTTATTAATAGTTACTAACACTTCAATTTAATGCCAGTGATGATGAAGATACATGTTTTCCTTATAATATTTATATAGGATAGTACACTATTATGTCTAATGACAAAATCATAAAAAGGAGCACAATTCCAAGTCACTGTGAGTAGAAAGGAACAAATTTAGCTGTTCCTTTGCATAATATTTTTCTAAATGTTTTCTATTCTCTAAAAGAAAAGAGAGGCAAGGGCAAACGACATAGTAACTTTAAGCTAGTGAGAAACGCAGTGAAGTTAAGGTCTTTTAGCAAAGAGTGGTGACCCCTGCCCCCAGTCTTAGTTCAGCTGAAAATTTGTACCATATTTAAGAAGCGTTTTGAGGGTGATGCTGTAAAGTGTTCTGTGATGTTCACTTCGGAGCAATCACTTTACATTGAAATGATCTTTAAATGCTATGCTTAATATTCTTTTTTTTAAAAAAAAATTATGTTATATGATAAGATAATGTGAATGAACTAATATTCTATATGTATCTGAGGGGTTTTGGTTGCTTTAACAGTACTAATAAAGAACATTTTGCATTTGGGAGGGCTGGATTTCTTTAGGAATAATTCATAGCATGCACCATGTAACATTTCTCTCCTTTCCAACTGCTCTCTATTATGTGCTTAGGGTTTAGACCGCTCCAATTCCTGGGTTAACACTGGTCCAAAAGCTGCCCCATGGGGATCCAACCCCAGTCCAAGTGCAGAATCAACACAGGTGGTGTTTACATTATAGGTTTCTTTATTGGCTGCTGATGTTTCCCTTTAGAACATTACCTTTTAGTACATGCTGTGATTTCAGTGGCTTGCTGTTTTTAATCATTATAAGTGTGTATTTTTATTTAGCACATTTCCCAACCACTGTGCATGAATCCCACCAGTTGCACCGGTAATGCTCTTCTTTTCTGTCTTCTGTCTCCTCCTGCTTACTCCGTACACACCGTATCAGTGTCTGTGCCTGCTGACGATGCATTGATAGTTTTATAGTAGGATCTATTCAGGCCTTGTACATCCTTAGTAGGAAATTGTTACATAGAAAACAGCCAACAGTTTTCCATTTGCTGTAAAGTAAATGTATTGTTTCCTGTGACCCTTGACCTTATCTCTTTGTCATAATCACCAAGTAGAAAGACTGGTAGTTAAATATAAATAAATCTGAAGTATACAGTATGCATGTTTTCAAAATAAATGCTAGAAAGAAAACTCCATTGAATTTGTACTGTGTTGCAAAGTATGAAATTTTTTACAATTATAACATATAATTTAAGACTAGTTGCTTGATAACTGACTGCATGATTTATGAAAATATACTTCTTACTTGTGTATTGGCTTTGAATGAAAATTCTCTTACTCCTAAAAAATACCAATTTCTGTTTAAGACTATAACTGATTTATATTAGATATTATTTATGATAAATTTAAGTGGCATTTTTAATAGAAAAAGTAAACTTTCTAAAGTTTAATTTTTCTTATTAACTACAAAATTCTTGATTTCTTTTTCTTCAGACACCAGTTGAGAAGTATGTTTTTTCTTTTTGTATGTTTTCACTAGATATGTGCATGTGTAGATTACACAGATAAGTTTCATCCTTTGCAGCACTCTGTGCGTTAAAATCATTAAGGTAATTCATCTAAAAGACTAAAAACATAGAAATAATGTTCATACTTGCTTTTAAAGCAGTTCAAAATAACATAATGAAATCAGAAATAATACAAATGGTTGAAGATTGTACGTAGTCCTTGAACTTCAAAGTCTTCTCTGCGGTGTTAATGTTATCTCGCCGTCCATTCGTCTCCACTCCATAGGCTATGGATCGAAGTTGTAATCGTATGTCTTCGCACACAGAGACGTCAAGTTTCTTACAAACATTAACGGGACGCTTACCAACTAAAAAGGTAGATTCATAAGAAGACAGTTCATAGAGGGGGAAAGTAATTCCAACAAGTAAAAACATGTAAAGTTTTTTTACACAAGCAATTTGAGTTATTACAATAGTTTTGGTGTATCTAAAGTTACATTTGAATAAACAGTGCCTGTCTGGTGCCTTTTGGGGCATAGCACTGTCATTGAGGACTTGTTTACATAAGGTGATGTTTCTGTCTTTGACTTAGAATTGACTAGAATTTAGTAATTCATATTAGATAATCAAATTTTAATGCCAGAAAAATGTGTCAACTCTTAATTCTGTTTCTGTAACTGCTTCTGTTTTGTTTTAAATCTCCAGGGAAAGGAAGATGAGTTAGAAAAGTTATCACTCTTAGTAAGCGATGCTGGCTTGCCCCTTACGCACAGTCCTGCTAGTCCTCATAGTGATCTATGCTACTTTGCAAGTGCTTTGTATGCATATCCATTTAAGGGTTTTTGCTTTGTAAAAATACATCTTAAACACATGAAACGTAATAGCACATAGAAATGTTTAAATTTGTAATGGTATTTCCTAAATTGTACCAGCAAAGTTGATGAGTGTATTATATGTTCCAATACATATTCGAAATAAAAACAAAATACAATTCGTAGCTAGTTTTTGGTTTGCAAGTGCAATTTAGGAAGTTGTTTCCTGCCTGTCCTTTTAAAATTACATTTTACTCCAAGAAAACATGTAATTTTTCAGCTTTGAACACATCACCTATCTTCATACATAAGTAGTCGTTTCGTTAATGGGTGTCTCCCCTGCATCATCCAGATCCATGTGCCCTCTTCCGCTTATTCTCATGATGCCTTCATTGTACCTGCATTGTCATTTGTTTATCTCATCAGCAGATTTCACTTTGGTAATAACCTTGAATTTACTTCTGGCTAGCTTTTTCACGAGGAGCTGGCTTTGCAGTGGGTTGTTTGCAGTGGCAGCGTGCGGGAATCAGCTTTGCAGCAAGCCTGGTTCTTTTTTGAGTTGATGGTGAGCAAACTTTAATACTTTCTAACTCAGTAAGCAATTTTGTATCAGTTCATTTTCCTTTTATCTTAGAAATTGCATTTCTGTGTTTGCCCTATACAATATGGACACCAATACAATATAGGTGAAATTATAAAGTGTGAGGTTCATTTATTCTCTGGTTTTGATTTTGTCTTGTTTTTCTTGGATACTTATCAAGGAAATTTGTGACATTCCTCTCTAGTCTATGCAAGTTAATAAAGGCAATGCTGTTGATTTTGTAACAATTATTTTAGAGCTTTATAAATATTTACTGTTATTATTATAGGTGAAGGACACAGGGAAATACTAGTTACAGCCAATTAGAAAACACTTTTTGTTTAATTCAATAAATGATACTACAAACCAATTAATATTCCTGTCATATAGAGCATGGCTATACTTATATGCACTCGTACCTATTACTGAACAAAGCAGTGAGTGCTTACCCAGTGCCTGAGCATGTTGTTACTGACGCTCCAAAAGGTTGTGTAAGTTTTCTAAGTATACACAGGGTAGGTAGCAGCACTGTAATTCATGTCCAGGCATTCTGGCACTAGGGACCTTTCTCTTTGTTTTCTCCCTTAGTACTAGAAAACATACTGTTTTCTTCCGACAAAATAGTATTTAATAAATAAGAAGTAAAGCACAGCAAAAAAAAATTGAGTACAGGGAAGGAGGAGAGAGGGGGGACAAAAGAGAAGGAAATAGAAGTTACTTTTAGAATAGTCATTCTCAGCATTGACTGTTACCTATATTTGAAATAGAAAACACCCCCACACAGATTTATTAACTAATATTTTATATAATAGATATTGATAGTACAGTGAAGACAGGGTTTCTAACCATTGAAAATTTCTGGTTTAGGAACAGTGGAAGGAAAAAAGTGAACGAGTCTTAAAACTTTTTATTAAAATTGTTCTTACACTGTGAGTTTTTTTTCTCATTAACATACACTGATTATTTTTTGTTGGATAATTTATGAGGCTGAAGTGGGAAAGTTTCACTATATTTGACATTTCATTGGCATAAAATATTTAAGGAACATTTTCAAAACATTGAGAAATGAAAATACATTTCAGTCACTTGTTAAATTATATGGTATATTTAAAAAATAACTAGAATATTTAGAGCGTTATAATTTGCTTAAAATTAAGAAATCAGGCAGGTGGTAGAGCACAGGTGTGATCTCATCGCTGAGAGGCTGAGATGGAAGGATTGAGAACCCAGAGGTGATCTGGGTTATATTATAAGTTGCTGGCATAAAATAAAGCCAGACCCCGCCAGCACAGATAACAGTGTGTACCTTTTGCAGGTAAAGAGCATGGTGCACCACTTGTACTTTAACGATAAGTTGGACGCTCCACGGAAAACCCGCTTCCCAGAACGTTTCATGGATGACATTGCTGCTCTAGTTAGCACAATCGCTGGTGACGTTGTGACACGGTTTCAGAAGGTGAGGATGACCGCCCCTGGTGCGTCTTACAGTGAGAGTAACTGTCATCATCATCATTATTGTGTATGTTCTGTTTCCTAGGACACAGAAATGGTTGAGAGACTGAATACGAGCCTTGCCTTCTTTCTTAATGATCTGTTGTCTGTTATGGACAGAGGGTTTGTCTTCAGTCTTATAAAGTCCTGCTACAAACAGGTAATGCATGATTAGTAATTCAGTAACTGAAATATTGGGGTAGCTTTGTCCAGGACTGGAGCTTCAAGAACACTTTCATATTTTGGTATTAAGATGAAAAAGTAGCACAGAGTTATGTGTTGATAATACTGTAGTGAAAGTATATCGAATGTGTTTTACTAGGACTATATAGCAAGCAGATCCCAGAGCAGCTAATTCACCCCACTCAATTTCTCTTCCTTCTCATTAACAGATAGTCAGATAATTAGTGATGGAATGCAGCCTTTGAATGCTGTGCAAGTACAGCATTTATGTTGAGTGCATAGTTAACCGAACTTTTCCTGTGCTGGGTATTATTTGTTTATTTAAGATAGGGTATCATATAGCCTTGGACAGCTCCAAATTTACTGTGTAGCTGAGGGTGGCCTTGAACTCTGGTCTATCTCTCCCATCCTAGGGTTATGAATGTGAGCCATTGTGCCTGCTTTTGGGTGGTCTTTCATCAGTTTGTTGTTATTGCTACTATTTAATCCTAAACAGTAGAGTTTGAACTTGTGGTCAGATGGTTACTGATGTTCAAAATGTCATTTATTACCTTGCCATTTATAAATTACAAACATCCTAGACCTTGTTCACAGGCAGCAAGTTACATTTTGTAAATGTTATCAGCTGATTATTAATGTATTACCTTTTGAGAAATACTGATTTTTGTCTCTGAATTGGCCCCTCTATAAGCAGTGCATTGACTCCAGTGTTATTTTTAATGAAGCCTTAAAAAATAAAATGTCAGGGTTTTATCTCAGAAGTTTTGAGAAGTTGAGTCCATGGGGTTTAGGAGTTAAACTTATGAAACCCTTCCTAGCTGGCCCATCAGTTAGTTTTGGAGAGCTGTTGGTCAATAGTTCTAGGGTGCTAGGGAGATAGTTCAGTGGTTAAGAGCACTCACTGTGCTTCTTGATGACCTGGATTTAAAACTCAGCATTCACATGGCAGTGCACAATAGTCTGAAATCCAATTCTAGGGTATCTGAGTTCTGTGGGTACCAGAAGCGTAAATACAGGCAAAACACTCATCCACATAAAATAAAAATTTCATACAATTCTATTTGGCAATATAATCTTTAAAATTTTAAAGACCTGTTCAATTGGATATTTTTATTTCTTTTATAGTTATAGAAATTACCTATGTGTGGGCACTGGCTCACTATTTTTCCCCCAAAAACCACTATTTTCCCCCCAAATTTAAATTTTATTACTATCAAAATTTATTCTGAGCCAGACATTATGATGCACACCTTTAGTCCCAACACTTGGGAGGCAGAGGCAGACAGGTCTCTGTGAGTTTGAGGCCAGCCTGGTCTATGTAGTGGGTTTCAGGACAGCCAAAGCTACATAATAAAACCCTGTCTCAAAAAAACAATAACAACAAAAAACCTTATTCTGACTTAATGACCTCCTGCACTGTCAAGCATTGAGGTTGACCCAAAGGATGTTATTCAGTCAGCTTACAGTATATCTCCCCAAGTAGCCTGTGATATAGTTGGCAAAGATAGTTATAAATTCATTAAACAGAAATGTTGAAAAGAAGTATGCTTTTCCTTCATAAAGTACATTTTTGAGAAATAGAGATATTAATGCAATATTGGCAATAAGATAACGTGACGTAAGGCTAGTCAAGTGGATTTATACTGTCGGTCCCGTAAGTTCTATGTTTATAATGTTTGCTATAATTTTCAGAAATAGGATGTTATTCTATGAGCCACAGAGACCCAAACTTCTATTGCTATGGAAGGAAAAAAATGTATCATTGTGTTCTCTTATTTATGCAATCCTTCCAAGGTGGCATCAAAGCTCTATTCACTGCCAAATCCAAGTGTGCTGGTGTCCTTGAGGTTGGATTTCCTGCGAATTATCTGCAGCCATGAGCACTATGTAACATTGAACTTACCCTGCAGCTTGCTCACCCCACCTGCATCTCCATCACCTTCTGTTTCTTCTGCAACATCTCAGGTATGCAAAATGTGAAGACATAACTATGTTCATACTTATAAGAAAGGATTGAAAACAATGGGTGGAAAAATCATAATGTGTTATTTGATGATTAGTTAGGTAATAGGCTCATTTCTGGATTGTCTTTGTGAGGGTTTCTATTGCTGTGAAGAGATACCATGACCATGGCAACTCTTATAAAGGAAAGCTTTTAATTGGCACTGGCTTACAGTTCAGAGGTTTAGTCCATTATCATCATGGTGGGAAACATGGCATTGCACAGGCAGACATGGTGCTAGAGAATGAGCAGAGAATTCCAGATTGGCAGGCAGCCAGAAGAGAATGCCACACTGGGCCTCATTTGAGCACCTGAGAACTCAAAGCCCACCCCTTAGTGAAACACGTCCTCCAACAAGGCCACACCTCCTAATAGTGCCACTCTCTGTGAGCCCATGGGGACCATTTTTATTCGAACCACCACATTCCATTCCCTGGCCCCCATAGGCTTATAGCCATATCATAGTGCAAAATGCATTTAGTCCATACTTCAAAAGTTCCCATCGTCTATGTCTATGTCCATTGTTATAGTCTCAACAATGTTTAAAAGTCCAAATTTCAAAATCTCTTCCTGAGACTCATGCCATCTCTTTAAGTGTATCCCCTGTAATCCTCTGTAAAATCAAAATGAAAAAGCAGATGATGTATTTATAACATACAATGGCACAAGTTATAGATTATCATTTCTAAAGGGAAGAAAGGGGACATAGTGAGGAAATACTAGACCAAAGGAAGACTGAAAACCAGATGGACAAACTCCAAATCCTACATCTCCATGTCTGATAACAAAGCACTCTTCAGATCTCCAATGTAGTTTTGTTGACTATAACACACTTCTTTCTCTTGGGCTGGTTTCACTCCCTGTTAGCAGCTTTCCTTAGCAGGTATCCCATGACTCTGGCATCCCCAGCATCTTGGGGTCTCCAAGGCAATGCATACTTCAACTTCACAGCTTCACACAGTGGCCTTTTTTTTTTTTTTTTTTTTTTTTTTGGCCTCCATGCAGGGATACTGCTGCCACATACCTGGCCTTCAACTGCTTTCTCATTCAAAGTCCCAGAGTCTGCATTCCTCCAAATAAAAGCCTATTACAACAACATCCCACTCTGGTACCAATTTCTGTCTTAGGCTTTCTATTGCTATGAAGAGACATCATGACCATGGCAGCCCTTAGAAAGGAAAACATTTAATTGGACTGGCTTACATTCAGAGGTTTTGTCTATTATATCATAGTGGGAAGCATAGCAGCAGGCAGGCATGGTGTTAGGGAATGAGCAGAGAGTTCTACATCTAGATTGACAGGCAACAGGAAGAGAATGCCACACTGGGCCTGGCTTTAGCACCTCAGTGCTCAAGTTCCACCCCTTAGTGACACACATCCTCCAGTAAGGACACACCTCCTAATAGTGTCATTCCCTGTGAGTCTGTGGGGACCCTTTTTATTCAAACCACCACGTGAGTGCTTTATAAGTATTAGCTCATCTAATTACAAGAACAGTGCTGGGGGATTGTTCTGTTAGTATGCACATTGGATAGCTCCAAACAAGAAACACTGAAAGTAAGAAATGGTCAGGTTAGACTTTGAACCAAAGCTTTATTTCAGAGCCCAGGGTTTAAAGCATGATATGTGTTTACAGATATGTGAGCTCACCTAAGTAAACTCGCTTATTTTGTTGTTTTCCCAAAATTGAGGTTTTTTGAAGCAAATATGGAAAACAAGTTTGGGTTAATTCCTGTGAAATAGCTATTTAAAGTTATATTGTATTTTTTTAAATATTTATTTATTATGTATACAATATTCTGTCTGTGTGTATGCCTTCAGGCCAGAAGAGGGTGCCAGACCCCATTACAGATGGTTGTGAGCCACCATGTGGTTGCTGGGAATTGAACTCAGGACCTCTGGAAGAGCAGGCAATGCTCTTAACCTCTGAGCAATCTCTCCAGCCCAAATTTATATTGTATTTATATATTATATTTATAAATGCCTTGAAGCAGGGAAAAGAAGCCAGCCTGTCAAGCTCAACCTGACCTGCTTACAAAAAATTAACGGACATTTACATTTGAAGTGGGCACTTCTTCACTTTCACAACTAATAGTTTCTTTGAAGATGAAAAGATTAAAATTTTATAGTTGTAGTGTCAAGAAAGCCAATATTTTTCCTTCCCCCTAATAAAATATACAGTTGGAAAGCTGTTTTTATAGTACCTCCTAATGTCTGATGTTAGAGTTGATCTTACACATTCCCTAATCCTATTTCTGTGGTTTGGAATGCTCAGGTACAGTTACCTAGACTGGGTTGATCCGACATGCTCGCTATAAATAAATAAATAAATAAATAAATAAATAAATAAATAAATAAATAAATAAATAAATAAATAAGAAAATTAGACCTCACGTACATAAACTGGAAATATTAGAGAGCCAGCCAAAACTTTTAATTTCATCTTTTCAGTTCATCTCCTGGACCAACCTACTTCCCACATCTTTCTGCCTCCCTAATGGACACATGTAGCCCTTTGCATTTTCCTCTGTCTTCTTCCAAAGATGTGGCTAAATAGCCAGAGCCAAATCAGTCATAGGTAACTATAGATGGAATTTTTTTTTCTGGGCTGCCAGCTCACAAAAAAACAACCTGGAGACTTATTTTTAATTGTGAAAGCTTAGCCAGTAGCTTAGTCTTGTTTCTAACTAGCTCTTATAATTTAAACCATATTTTTAAATCTATATTCTTTTTTTAAAAATATTTATTTATCTATTATGGACACACTATTCTGTTTGCATATATGTCTGTAGGCCAGAAGAGGACACCAGACCTCATTACAGATGGTTGTGAGCCACCATGTGGTTGCTCGGAATCGAACTCCGGTCCTTTGGAAGAGCACGCAATGCTCTTAACCACTGAGCCATCTCTCCAGCCCAACAGAAACCATATTATATATATATATATATATATAATTTTTTTTTGGTTTTTTGAGACAGGGTTTCTCTGTGGTTTTTGGAGTCTGTCCTGGGACTAGCTCTTGTAGACCAGGCTGGTCTTGAACTCACAGAGATCCGCCTGCCTCTGCCTCCCGAGTGCTGGGATTAAAGGCATGTTCCACTACCGCCCGGCTTAAATCTATATTCTTTTAAGTGGTTCAATTATTGTTACTTTGTAATGCCTAGGCTTCTTGCTCTGTCTATGTCTCCTGGTATCTCTGCCCTTCTTCTCCTCAGAGTCCTCTGTGCCTGGAAATTCTGCCTAGCTATTGGCTGTTCAGCTTTTTATTAAGCCAGTCAGAGTGACACATCTTCACAGTGTACAAAAAGATTGTTCCACAACAGGTACCTTTCCCAAAACCTCCTTACTACATGACATTTACCTATGAATAATCATAGGATTTCTTGAATTATCTTGTTCACCTTCACATACACAACCAGATATACACATGCATACATATACATGGGTAGCCATGAATATAATGATATAAACTTTTTTTAACACTACAATTTTTGGAGATTTGGTGAAGAAACCATGAGATGATGGTAATTCCAAAGACGAATGAAATATGGCTTAAGTGATATTTGAAATTTCTCTAGAAAACAAGTGCCATGGTTTTGGTTGGGTTAGGGCATTTACAGCATTGGTGTTCACGTCTATCTCTCCCCTTCAGAGGCTACCAGAATAGCAGAATAAAAAATTAAGCAAATGGTGAATTTCAATGAGAAAAGCAAAATTAAACTTTTAGTTTATTAATTTTAGTAATAAAGTGTTTTATTGTTTGAAATGCTGAGGCCGCAGGCTGAGTTCAAGGCCCAGCATAGCAAGATCTCACCTTCTATTTAAAAACAAATAGATTAATGACTTGAACAAGCCACTTTCCTGAGCTCTTTCTGCCTGAAGTCAGCCTTTATCTTATGCACCGATGAATCCTCTTCCTAAGGTCTGCAATCCCCAAGTAGGATCTCAGACTAGGTCAGTCTTCTATGTTTGGTAACAGAAATAAAGACTGTCACCATACTCTCCCGTACCAAAGTGAGAGCAGTCACGTTTCTGTGAACTCGCTGGCGTAACTTTTGTCTGGCATAACAATGTCACGTTTCCTTTGTTGCAATGCCCCAGCTGTAGGATGTTTGTTGCACAGCTGTCAACAGTTGAGTTCTACCTTACCCCCAACAGAGTTCTGGATTTTCTACAAACGTGCAGGACCAGAAGATCGCAAATATGTTTGAACTGTCCTTGCCCTTCCGCCAGCAGCACTACCTGGCAGGCCTCGTGTTAACAGAGCTCGCGCTCATTTTAGACCCTGATGCTGAAGGGTGAGTAGACCTGTTTTGCCTTTTAGAATATCAGTTTGATTTTGGAAAGTGGGACGGATCTTGCTAAGATTTTAGTACTATTTCTATATCTTTATTTTTTATGCTTATTTATCCTCTGAGGTTCATATACTTTGTTTTCTGTATGAATGGTGTTTATATTTCATTTAATCATCTCCGAGTTTGAGATTTATCTACACAAATGGTATATTATGGTTGATCAGTAGCATTTTTTTCAATAGCATTTTTTAATAGTATAAGAAACAATTGTATATATTAGTATATGGACTATTTGTTAAAATAACAGTAGGCAGTTTTCAGTTAAGGAAAATAGGCTAGTTTTTTTTAATCCTTTATAAGAAAAAAATTATAATTTGTCATCCTGCTGTGTAGTATTTTATCTTAAAACTTACCCTATTCTTTTTTAAATTTCTGCGGTTAGACCTGACACCTCTGCTAGCTTCTAAGGACACCGGCCTTCGTGTGCTCATTCAATACACAGTTACACACACATAAAGTAATTTTAAAAGAAGCTATTTAGAAACTAAAACTGTATTGTGGTTCATTTGGGTAACAAAAAATTTTTTTGATGGTCCGATCATCTTAAGTTTATCCTGCAGTTACATGTCATACAAGAAGTCCAGGAAACAAAATCATACAACCTTAAATAGGTTTTTAGTGGATGCTTAATCAGCTTAAGAGAAGAAAGAAGATGAAGGACAAAGTCCGTAGTTATTATGTCAGGGACAGAGTTGATACTGAATAAATTTTAAAAGGTCCAGACTGTCTGCAAATGAAAGATTTATATTTTTAAAATAATGAGAACCTACATGTGGAATATATTTTAAAGAGTTAGTTTTCACCAGAACTGTGCAGTTCTGTAGGCTGCATGTGGGATAGGGGTTTGTGTAGACTCTGTTCAGAGAGAAGAGTTCACATGGCCGAGAGAGACGCCATGCCTGCCTGTTCTGTCTTTCCTGGTTTACATTTGACAGAAGAGGACAATGTCATTTGAAGGCAGTAATAAAGCTGTCCATTTTTGAGGAGAGAAGATACTCTACAGCTTCCCAAACATTCCAGCTTTCCTAAACAACTCAGGACTTTGAGTTATGTTTCCGGTGTGTTTATTTGGGCAGGATGGCTTTAGTTGTAAGAAACAAAATTCGTCATATTGGCTTTTTCAAGAAAATAAATTTACTCCTATTTGGTAGGAAGAGGTTTCTTGTGTAACTCAGTCTTCAGCTCATTAAATTTCATCTTGTTTCTGCTGCAAGAATAGTCAGCTCTACTCTGACTGCAGGATGGTCCCCACTGAGTTAGGATTAAATACTCTCTTTGTTTATGACTGTCAGGAAAGGGGGGATGACTCCCTTTTACACGCAAGTATAAATCTTTCTAGTGGCCTGATGGGTCTCAGCTGGTTATCCTGATGGACGCCGTCCCCAAAGTTGCGCAGGTTGCTGGAAGGATTAGGTCAGTTTTGTTCACATGTGACCTTACACCAGACATGGATTGTTTGCCACAGCACACAGGATGAGGATATTGTACCCAGCTGCGTCGCTAAGCATTGTTCATTATTGTCAGGCTTCCTCTATTGAGGAAAGCTATGAGCCAATTAAAGGTTGTCTTTTTGAAGAGTCAAAGGAACATGCCAGCTGGCCATTTGAAGTGACAGGGTTGACCTAGCTAGACTCTGGTGCTGAAACTGGACAGTCAGCTTCTTCTGAACCCCAGGGAAGCATAGTTTTCTTTGAATTAGGATGGATGGCAGGAAAATGCATGCTGTCTGGATTTCAGTAATGTCTCATATAAAGGATAGGCAATTCCTGCAGTGATGTTCCTTTCCACGTCAATAATCAATTCTATTAAAGTAGGGTTTATGTGTTATAATATTTGGCTTATGAAGGAATTCGTTACTGACTCTTTTCTTCTTGAAGCTAGAATGTGTTGTTCTTTGGCTCTTGGAAAGGTTTCTGTTGAGTCCCATGAGTAATGATGTGTTTACCGTCGCCTTTCTTTGTGTATTCAGACATCATAGACTGTGCGCTACATAGTAGAAGAGCCTTAGCTTTAGTCTGGTTTGTTTCCTCTTTCTTTTCTTCCCTGCGCCCTCTTCGTTAGCGAAGTCTGCAGCTCTCTAAAACATCCCAAGTTCAGTCCCATCTTTTCAGTCCTGCTTCTACTGGAACTAATTATGTTTCTTTATTGTGTCTCTCAAATCATTTTTGATGCAATAGCAAGTAGCCTAAATAGTCTTTTTAAAATGGGGTAAGATTATGCCATGACCTTGCTTAAAGTTTTTTTTATTACTTAAAATAAATACCAATCCAAATTCTCACTTCCTCCCCTCCTCCCACTCCCCTCTCAGTCCCTCCACACACCTTCCCCTCCACTCCCCTCCAATCTTGAGAGAGAGGGCAAGGCGCCCTGCTCTGTGGAAAATCCAATGCCCTTTCCACTACATCAAGGTTGAGCAAGGTATACATCCAAAGAGAATAGGTTCCCAAAACCCAGTACATGCAGTAGAGATAAATCCCAGTACTATTCTCATTGGCCCCTCAGTCTTCCCCAACTGTCAACCACATTCATAGGGACTAGTTTGATCCCATGCTTGTTCACTCCCAGTTCAGTTGGAGTTGGTGAGCTCCCGTTAGCTCAGGCAAATTATCTCGGTGGGTGAACCCCTCATGGTCTTGACTCCCTTGCTCATACACTCCCGCCTTCCACTCTTCAACTGGACCTTGGGAGCTCAGTCCAGTGTGAGGTTTCTCAACAGAAGAATTTTAAATGGTCAAAAAACATTTACGGACATGTTCAACTTCCTTAGCTATCAGGAAAATGCAAATCAAAACAACTTTGAGATACCATTTTACACCTGTCAGAATGGCTAAGATAAAAAACATCAATGATAGCCTATGCTGGAGAGGATGTAGAGTAAGGGGAACACTTATCCATTGCTGGTGAGAATGCAAACTTGTGCAACCACTTTGAAAATCAGTGTGGCTGTTTCTCAGAAAATTGGGAATCAGTCTACCTCAGGATCCAGCAATAGCACTCTTGGGAGTATATCTAAAAGATGCTCAATCATACTGCAAAAGCATTTGTTCAACTATGTTCATAGCAGCATTATTTGTAATAGCTTAAAGTTATCCTCTCTTTTTTTTCCTGTAAGTTAAATACCACTTAGAATAAAACCCAGAGTTTTAATAATTGTCCTCAAAGCCATGCCTTGCTATTGTCTGTTTCTTAAGTGTGACAAGTTCATTCATACATTTGGGCCTTGATGCTTGCATTTTTCTCTGCCCAAAGCAGTACTTGAATTATCTAAGGTCTTCACATAGCCGTTTCCTGCTTGTAGTGTCTCAGACCTTCTCACAAAACAGGATGTTCCTATAGAGATTCTCACTGCCTACTAAATTAGAGCCGTGTTGCCCTTGCCACAGTCACCGTTAGCCACACAGTCTTGTTTCCTTGAGGTTTATCAGGTGCCCCTCCATTAGAGGAGGAGCTAGAGAGCCTACCGACTCTTGTGCTTCCTGCTCTGCACTGTACTCGCAGAGCTTGTCGAATGCTCTCAGTAACTAGAGGCTCAGCCATCTAAGGGAAACCATTCTAACCTTTTAGCTTGAATGTGACAAGTTCATTTCTACCTTTGGGATTTAGCAGTTGAATTTCAGAATAGTGCTTAATGACCCTAAGATTGTCATATGCCTTTGTTACATTCTTACAGGTGTAGACAGAGATTGTGTGCAGGCTACATTGCCCCAGATCCTTAAGGCGAGTGCTTGTCCTTTGACTTCATCTGCTTGCTAAGCACTAAGAATCATTCCTTGATTAGCACTAATATGTTCTGTAATTGGCCAAAGATGTTATGAACTTCCCTTATAGCAGGAAAGCTGGCCATGAAACAGTCTAATAGAGGCACAGATCTCTCGTGTTTTAAAGAGCTGTCGTTCTAGTTTTCTATTTCTGTGATGAAACTTGGAAACTTGTATGTCCAGATCACAATCCATCATGAAGGGATGTCAGGCAGGAACTCAAACAAGGAATCAGGAAGCAGGAGCTGATGCATCTTAATTCAGACAGCATGAACGGGGTAGGAGCTGGAGCAGCAGCTCAGAGGGAGCACGCTTGTGTGGCTTACACAAAACTCTGGGGTCAGTCATCAGCACTGAGTATTGGATAATTATACATTTAATACTTTAATGTGATTGAAAAATAAAATACACGAAAAGACTTCATAAAAACCATTTAGGCAGTTGGAGTCTGGGTGTGACAGCTGCTGACAGGGTAGGAGTGCCTGTCTGGGCCTGAGAACCATTATGGTGAGAATGTAAACAGCAGAAGCTCAGAAACTGAGCCTGGGAACCCCCATTGTTCGTGCTCATTAAGTGCAGTGGGACACAGGGAAGTAGGGGAGGAGCTCGTTAGCTGTGAAAGAGTGAGTGAAAATAAAAAGAATCGGCATTGGGATTGGCTTCTTCAGGAGGATGTGACGAAGGGGAGCGGATAGGAAGAGTGTCACACAGAGACTTCTGTGAACCTGCGTGGTTTGGACAATATTTGAATATATTTACTTTATAAGTAAACCCTATAATAAAATTTAAGATGTGCTTTCAAAATATGAAAAGCTTGCTTGAAGCAAGGGAAGAATTTGGTCAGGATGGTCATCGAAAGTGTTGAAGGGAGATGGGATTCACTGACAGCATGGGAGAGCACTTTCTGGGAGAAATACAACTTTTTCTGAGACCAAAAAAAAAAAAAAGAGTGTTTTACAAGTACAGGGACAGACCTGTTTGGGGATTGGAGAGATGGCTCACTGTTAAAAGCGGTTCCTGCTCTTGAGAAGAATGTGAAATTGGTTCCTAGCACCTGTGCTGTATGATTGACAACTGTAGGCGGAGACTGCCCCTTCATTCCTGGCCGCCCAGACCTGAGTAATCACACAGAAACTATATTAATTACAACACTGTTTGACTGATACCTCTGGTGTATTTCTAGCTGGCTCTTACATCTTAGGTTAACCCATTTCTGTTATTTTGTATTTTACCACGAGGCTCATGGTTCGTTACCTCTTGCTTCTTGAGCAGCTAGTCTTCCTGACTCTTGTCTACTCTCTTTGTATTTCCTGCCTGGCTTTACTCAGCTAGGCCTGTGGCCAAACCAGCTTTATTCATTAACCAATGGCAATAAAACATACAGCATATAGAGGGGAATCCCACATCACACAACCACTGTAACTCTAGCTCCAGGGGATCTTATGCCCCCTGATGACCTCAGGCCTACCCTCTACAAATCACATTTACACAAACACATAAATTTTTTAAAAAAAGAAGAAGACAAAAAGAAAAGGAAAAATGCTGTTTTAGAAGAGATGGGCATATTTAAAAGATCTGGCCAGCATAAATCCAGAATGGCTCTTCTTTGCTAAGACAAGAACTCGCCGCTGAGTCCTCCTGCAAGGACAGGCGCTGAAGCTGCTGCTTGCTACAGTTTATGGGCTGTGGGAGCTGGAGTGGGTGTGCTTTAATCAGAGGCTGTGAAGACGACAGGTGTGTGTGGAAAGAGCACAGGAACCCTTGTTAGAGTACTTGGAAGTGCAGGGATTAGAGTCTAGAGAAATCTGAAGGGCTTAAATGAGGTGCGTGAGCGAATAAGTCCACTTAAAACTAGAGATGGCCAAAGACACCCCCAGTATTTTGATCATATGGTCTGTCAGATCGAGGGTTTTTCTTTCAGGGAAGAAAAAAGGGAATGGAGGCAAGGGAGATGGCTCGCTCCTTCAGTAAAGGAGTTGCCCTTGACTCATGAGGATCTGAGTGTGGATTCCCAGCACCCACAGACAAATCATAACATCTGTAATTCTAGCTCAAGGAAGGTGGGAATAGGAAACTTCCTGCACCTCGCTGGCCAGCTAATCTTGCCAAATTGGTAACATACGGGTCAGTGGGAGACTTTGCCTCAAAAAAATGAATTGGAGGACAATTAAGGAAGACATAATCTTATGTCCACCTCTGATCTCCATACATCTACAACTCATACGCATGTATGCTTGGGCCTCACACATGCACACAGAGTCATGCGTGTACTAGCACTAAGTACACATACAAAATAAAAATAGAGGAAATAGTACATTATTGATGAATGTGAAAAGGTCTAATTTGTTGAAGCAAAAGTTAAAACTACCTGAAACCTGCTTAGGAATTGTGACTACGGAGCCAGTGAGATGGCTCAACAGGTAAAGTGTGTGCTGTGCAAGCTGACAGCCGTAGTTAAGCCCCAGCACCCATGGAAAGGTGAAAGGAGAAACTGACACCATAAAGTTGTCCCCTGACTTCTACACAGCACCATGGCACATGTGCGGCCTCTATTTCAGGACACACAATAATAATGCTTACATTTTGTTGAAAGTGGGACTGTGTGTGCTCTCATGTTCGCTATCAGTTGGAAACACTAGTAAGGAGTTATGTCAAAGGGTTTTACTCTTAAGTGAACTGATGAAATGCTTTCTTTTCCTACAATATTTACTTTATACTGTTTTGAAATTTGTGTATTTTATTTTATTTTATTTAAACTGAGTATTTTATAGGAATAAAAATAATAGCTGGCAGAGTTATGTAATTAAAAAGATTGACTGAGTGCCATTACTTTCTATTTGTTTTAAAGACATGACTAATCTCTGTGACCTCGTTGCTGCTTCTTCTTTTCAAATAGACTGTTTGGATTGCATAAGAAAGTCATCAATATGGTGCACAACTTACTTTCCAGTCATGACTCTGACCCACGGTACTCTGACCCTCAGATAAAGGCTCGGGTGGCTATGTTGTACCTTCCTCTCATTGGTATCATCATGGAAACTGTACCTCAGCTGTACGATTTTACAGGTACTTAGTATAATTAAAGCAGTTTTCAAAGCTTGTCTAAAAGTTGTAGAAAATGCTTTTTAAGGTTAAAAAAAATATAAAGAAGTTAGAGGCTCAGTGATTAGTAGCACTGACTGTTCCTGCTGAGGACTCCAGCTTGATTCCCCGTACTCACATGGTACTATTGCTACAAGACCAGTAAATTCTAGGTGATCTAATATCCTCTTCTGATCTCTTTGGGCACCAGGCACATGCAAGGTGCACATACACACATGCAGACAAAACTCCCAGACATATAAAAAAAATGAAATAATTTAAAAATTATTTTTAAAATGCATCCCCCCCATAAAAATACTCTGTAAATAACTATGTTTAACTTTTTTGTTTGAAACTTTTGATATTTGACAAGATTCATTTTGAGATCCCTGAGATGATCTTAGTGTAAATTACCACGAGTTTATAGCAGTTCATACCTGCCTTCTAGAAAATACGCCTTTATTGTATGCATGTGTATTGTGCATGTTAAGAGAGAATAGTACTTGACTTCTGTCGCCAGCTTTATTCATAGAGATGAGTAATGGAAATTAATATTCACCTGCATATAAAATATTATGTTTATTCCAGGTTAGTATGTTGAGACCATGCTGCTCACTAAAAGCTAGAACCTGTAGTGTTTCCTTCCCTTACTTTGACTGTTTGGAAGGTACTTAAATACACAGTTTAGGTTGTACAATATTTAAGCTAGCAACCAACCTGGTAAAGTACTTCAATTTTAATGAAGTAAAAACATTTCCTGGGTTCCTGATATTATCAGGAAATAACTCTTTGTCTGTAAGAGATTGGCATTGTAACCTCCCAGGGTTAGGGTCACTGAAGTGCTTCTGGTCTGAAGGCAGGAATGTTTATGCTGTTAGATCTTTCTTTGTAACTAGTCAGTTTAGGTTTTCACTAAAAAGTACTGAAATAGAAAAATTTAATATTTAAAAACTTAAAAAGAAATTAATTTTGATGATAAAAATGATAGTGAAGAAATTAATCTTGATAAAAATTGATAGTCTTGAAAATATGGATTTAAACTGCAAAAAAATTCAAGATTGCTACCATTTTAAAAAACTCAGACAAGCTACATAGTCTAGAAATGTCATCAAAAAAATCAAGAAAAGGTCAGATATGTAATAAATGATAAAATATAGATAATAGTTAAAAACTATTTTGTACCACAATATGTTTAAATCTATTTTGAAAAGTTAAAGTTCACTTTAAAAATAGAGTCTGTTTTTACATGGTGGCCCTCACAGTTAAGAGACATGCAATTAGATATAAGATGCAGCATTAAACAGAGCATGGATTAGTTCTGGCTCACACTGTAGTACTGTAATACCGTGTAGCTGTCTGTTCCATGGCTGTCAGCACATGTCAAGTGCTGTGGCACTGATGGTCTCTGAAAGCAGAACACAGTCTGGAGGCACCCATTTCTTGCTGCTGCCCGTCTCCTGCTATCAGTGAGGCTGCTAGTTAATGCAGAGTATTAGTGGTTGAGTTTGGGGAGAGTAACAATTACACATGGATCTTTGGCTTTGGGTGCTCTAACCTGTGAGGAGTTCAGGTGTAGTAACTACCAGCTGACCTAAAGTTTTCTTCCTTTTTTTCCTTTCAGAAACACACAATCAACGAGGAAGACCAATTTGTATAGCCCCTGATGATTATGATAGTGAGAGTGGGAGCATGATAAGCCAGACAGTTGCCATGGCGATCGCAGGAACGTCAGTCCCTCAGCTAACAAGGCCCGGCAGTTTCCTTCTCACTTCAACGGTAAAATGAACCACTTATATAAGTTTGGTGTTTTGTTCTGTTCTCTGCTGGCAGTTCTGCCACAATAAAGCCAGTGTCTACTGCCAGCCATTAAACTTCAGACGTTAGGGTTCTTTATGGCTGGCCTTCCCATGTGTTATCTAAATCAAATGGTTTCTTTAGAGTAGTTTATTTTTAAGAAAATTCTATTTTATAGTAGTATTTATTTGTTCATGTGATATCATATGTCTGAAGCTTGTAAGGTAGCTCAAACTTTCTCAAACTTGGATCCGTTCTACCCGCGTCTCCCAAGTCCTGGAGTTACAGGTGTGAGTCAACAAGAGTGAAATGATCACTGGTCAGTGGGGCTCATGCTGCTCTTCCGTTTTCAGAGCGGCAGGCAACATACCACCTTCTCAGCAGAATCAAGCCGCAGCCTTTTGATCTGCCTGCTGTGGGTTCTCAAGAACGCAGATGAAACTGTTCTGCAGAAGTGGTTTACAGACCTCTCCGTCCTACAGCTGAACCGGCTGCTGGATCTGCTTTATCTATGTGTATCTTGTTTTGAGTACAAAGTAAGTAGCTATTAGCCCATTGAAACTTACAAAGAAGTAAAATAATGTGGAAAGGAAGAAGGAAATGTTCTCAATGCCTCTTCTGCTGTTAAATTTTAGGGGAAAAAGGTGTTTGAAAGGATGAATAGTTTGACCTTTAAGAAATCAAAAGATATGAGAGCCAAGCTTGAAGAAGCCATTCTGGGAAGCATCGGTGCCAGGCAGGAAATGGTGCGGCGGAGCCGAGGACAGCTTGGTAGGTGCAGCTTCTCTTGATGAGGGATGTGTCAGTTCCAAGGATTGTGTTCTGTAGTCATTGCTGCTGCAAGTCCACAGTGACTTTCTAGAAACACTTTGAACATAACTGATCAACATGATAACTGCTTTTCTGAAGACGCTGTTTGAAATTCTCACTAAAATGAGAAGTGTGTTCTAGTTAGCTATGGATGGTCTCAGCTTTGCCTGCTGTCCTTGTGTGTGGCACTCCTTCTTAAAATAGACACTTTCATTTAGATTCAGGGCAGAATTGAACAGAAAGGACAGGTATGTATGTGTATCCTCTGTGTAGATAGTGTAGCTTCCTCCATTATCACTGTCTTTGAGAGTAGCACACTGCTTACAGAGGTCATTCTATGTAACATGCCCCTTTATTGCTAAATCTTTCATTTTGCAGTGTAAATTAGTATATTGTGTATATTAATTAAAAAAGATGTTGCCCACAGACTCATATGTGAAGTAGAAAAAAATAGTTTATTCCATGTTGAGGTCGTCTGTTTCTATTGCTAGGTTGGCTTCCACTAACCGTATCACCATGGCCATGATACTTAATCTCCCAACTTCCTTTTCCTCACTTCTTTGTAATTGTTTTCAGTATTTAGAAGATAGGGTAACTACCTGCTTTTATCATCGTTGTGATGATAATATGTGTGCAAGCATTTGTAAATGCTAAAATGACATAAATACTAATATTGATAACAGTTCTGTAGTGTCAAAAATGGCTTAGTCATCTGTGTAAAGAATACGTACTAAATGTCTAATATGTATTTATTGAGTTAAATATGAATCTGTAAATGGATTTTAATTTTCCTTTATATAATTATTTTGAGATAGGGTCTGGTCTGCTGGTCTATACCTGAGTGACTGAACCTGGCTATGTAGAACAGTCTGACCTTAAACTGTTGGTGATCCCCCTGTCTCACTTTTGAGTATTGAGATTACAGGTGTGTGCCCCTACATCTGGCTTGTGAACTATAATTCTTTAATTGTTAGATTTTTTTTCTTTACTTTTTTTTGTGGGGGGGGGTTTAAAAGACAGGATTTCTCTGTATAGTCCTGGCTGTCCTAGAACTCTCTCTGTAGGCTAGACTGTCCTCAAACTCAGAGATCCACCTACCTCTGGCTCCTGAGTGCAGGGATTAAAGTTGTTTCACCAACCAACACCAGCACAATTAGAATTTTCTGACATTTCACTTTCAGAAATCATTGATATAGGTAGATTTTATATATTGTATGTGTTTAGAATTTAGTGGTGAGTAGGACACAGTCATCCTGGGAAGGAAATAATGGAGCTCAAGCCAGACAGTCCTAGCATGGAGTAAGAAGTCCTTTAGGCACGGTTTTCTTCAGGACTGCTGGCTCGAGACTTACTATTAACTATAAATGCTTGGCCGATAGCTTAGACTTGTTACTAACTAACTCTTATAATTTAAATTAATCTATATTTCCTATCTAGGCTCTACCATGTGGAGCCTTCTTATCACCTTTTTATCTACCTTTTTCATCACAACATCTTCATCTCCTGCTTGCACTGTGGATGGGGACTCTGCCCTTCTTTAACCCCACACTCTCCTTTTGTCTGCAAGTCCCACCTAATTGCTAACTGCCTAGCTCTTGGACATTTACCCCTTTATTAAACCAATGAGAACAATAAATAATCACAGTGTACAAAAAGATTGTTCCACAGCATTTCTCCCCTTTTGTCTAATTAAAAAGGAAGGTTTAAACTATAGCATAGTAAAATTATAATAAAATATAATAATATATTATATACAATATATTATTTAAAAATAAAAATATAATAAAAAGTTATTAAGTAAGAATTACAGTTACAGTATCCAGTCCATTTGTACTTGGAAAATTTAGAGAAAATATTTTATCTATCTTTGTGAGTCTAAAGTTTTATACCTAATTTACTTTTTATCATAACTAAGGAAAACTGTACGCTTAACTAGTTAGTCTTTAACTCTCAAAGACCCAAGAAGGAAGTAATATTACCTAAGAATAGAGACATCTGGCTGCCTAGACAGTCACCCAAAGTTCCTCTGCAGTGTTGGGGCATCCAGCTTTGCCCTACAGGCCTAATATATCTGACGTCTGAGAAAAGGGAATTTTGAAGGTCTGGTGAATCTTATCTTGGCAGTTTGGCAGTTGCTTTCTTTTGCTTCCTGCTGGTCCAGTTTGGACAGCATACCATCAGCAACTAAAGCAAGTACCATTTCTTGCCCAAATGACTAGCTTCTGCCATAAAGAAAGCAAGTTCCACACAGAGATGCTTTGATGCCCATCCTCTTCTTTTGAAGTAAATTGGTGCTGCCAAGAGCAGATGTGTCTCACTGTCACGAAACATCTTAAATACCCTATTCTCTAGGTTTTTGAAGTGTTTGAAACCATCTATCTCAATATATCTGCCTAACCTTGAAAACATACCTAATATGACTATAAGTTTGATTATTATAGATGACTAACTACTAACCTGTATTTCTTAATTACACATTACATTTTTAAATGAACTGCATGCCCCAAACAAGAGTAGAAACGTACATATAGTATATCAAAAATAAATTTTAATTTTGTATCAATAAATCAAAATCCATACCAATGTAAGATATTTTGAGATTAATAGTTGCTTCTTGATTTAAAGTAGATTCAGTAATCTACACTTTTATATATCTCATCATTTCTGTTTTATATTTCTTCTTTTGTATAGAAAGGTCTTTGAATGTAACTCCTTTGTTTAGACCATGGCCAATAATATCTCATAACTAATCCCCTTAATTGATGACAAACATCCATATCCCATCTTTTGGGAATGTGAGTGTTGTTTCTCTAGACTGCTTCCTGTTGTCTGGGGGCGCTGATGTCTTTGGGGAAAACTTAAGAAAATCAGGATAATGGTTAAGTCTTAGCTAGAGTAGTTTGTGAGACTGTACTCTATCAGCCAGCAATCTTGAAGCCGTTTTGTATGCAGAACTCTGAGGAAACTGCAACAGAGGTGCTCTGAGATATTGGATCATGGATCACCGGATCATCTCTTTCTTTCTTTCTTTCTTTCTTTCTTTCTTTTTTTTTGGGGGGGGGATCTGGTCCCGTTTTTGGAAAATCATAAATTTTCAAAGGTAGAATACATATCTGCATTAATACAAGCCTTGACTGTGTTGTACATAGTTAGCCAAAGAAGGCAGCTGGATGGTGGTGGTGCATACCTTTAATCCCAGCACTTGGGAGGGAGAGGCAGGGTGTCTCTGTGAGTTTAAGATCTGCTCTACAGAGCAAGTTCTAGAAAAGACTCCAAAATCTACACAGAGAAACCCCTTCTTTTTAAATAAATAAATGAGTGCAACATATTAACATCACAGGACCCAGACTCCTTGTGCATTTCCCATCTCTATGTGACTTTTTTTAATTTTACTCTCTTTTTTTATTTTTTAAAATATTTATTTTTATTTATTTATTATGTATACAATATTCTTTCTGTGTGTATGCTCGCAGGCCAGAAGAGGGCACCAGACTCCATTACAGATGGTTGTGAGCCACCATGTGGTTGCTGGGAATTGAACTCAGGACCTTTGGAAGAGAAGGCAATGCTCTTAACCTCTGAGCCATCTCTCCAGACCCCTTTTACTCTCTTTGTAAATACTATGATTTTTAAACTATTCTATGAATGTCTATATCCTTTCTCTTTTCTCTCCAAAGACTATGTAGGGTTTTTTTTTTTTTTTAAGATTTATTTATTTATTTAGTATACAGTGTTCTACCTGCATGTATGCCCGCAGGCCAGAAGAGAGCACCAGATCTCATTACATATGGTTGTGAGCCGTGTGGTTGCTGGGAATTGAACTTGGGACCTCTGGAAGAGCAGTTGGTGCTCTTAACCACTGAGTCATCTCTCCAGCCTGACTATGTACGCCTTTAAATGCACTGTATCCCATTTAGAAGTTTTACCCATCTGGATCTGTCTTTACTGCATATCTGTAACCTTTTCTGTCTGCATTTGCAGAACCTTAAACCGACAGGCAGCTTAGCTTATAGTGTGTTGGTGGCACTCAGGCTGGTGACTCAAGCCCGCAGGCAGTGGCTGAAAGATGTATCTGTGTATCACGTCTGGCATGAGAGACTGCAGGACTAGGAAACTGTGTTTGTCTGTGGTTTTCAAGCCTTCTTTTAAGTTTTCTCAGGCCTTATGTGCATGTAGGTGCTGGACATTGGTACCATTTGTAGGTGGGTTTTTTTTTTTCAGGACCTCCTGCTCCCCAATAATCAACATGGAGACTTATTACTAATTATAAATCCTTGGCAGATAGTTTAGGTTTTTTAATAAGTAGCTCACATTTTGACCCACATTTCTTACCTAGGCTCTACCACGTGCTGGTAGCTTTTTCAACATGGCACGTTCATCTCCTGTTTTCTCTGTGGTCTCTGGAGACTCTGCACTTCTTCATCCCTGTGCTCTCCTTTTGTTGGCTTCCTGCCCAGCTATTGGCCAATTAGCCCTCTATTAAACCAATGAGAGCAACAAATATTCACAGTGTACAAAAGGATTGTTCCATAGCAAAGTCCTACCTTCACATAGAGCTTTTAGCATTGATAGATATGAGGCATGGGAGAACTAGTTTTCTTTAAGGATCCAGTACATTGACCATGCCCCATGGTAGGCTCTACAACCAAGAGTATTTGAGTAACACAAATTGAATTCAGTGGGTTAAAAAGGACAGAAAGAATATGCAGTGGGGTGGCTAGGAAGTTGGGGTAGTAAATATGATCAAAATACATTTTTCAGAATAAGGGAAAGGTGATTCAGTGGTTAAATGCTCCTACACTTTCGTAGAGGATCCGAATTCAGGTCCTGGCACCCATGTCACATGGCTTACAACGCCCTGTAAGTTCAGTTCCCAGGAGATGAATCCTCTGAGAACCTCAGTGAATACTTGCCCTTGAGTCCACAGAGACACAAATACAGACACATGATTAATAATAATAAATCTATAAGAAAACCCTCCAAATTAAAAAGCTAAGAAAGGTAGGAAAGAAAAACAATAGGAAAGCATAGAGACTTGTCTGTCATTGTATAAAATGATCCCTGTTTCTTAGAATTTTTTAAATTCCTATGTGAACTCTTAATTCTACTTTTATTGTTCTTCTATCCTCTCAAGTCCTCGGTTTCATTATTTTCAAATGTGGGGTCTTCATTTCCTAGTTGAAAGCTTGAAATCGGAGTCCATCACATGCTTGTATATTTACCCACCAGTTTCAGTGCTTTTCCATGCAGAATAAATGTATGGTGCCTATTAAAAGACTACCCATGCCTTCAGACCTAAAGTCCTTGGGGAAGAGGTCCCTCTCCCCGTTCCCATAGAACCAAGAAGTAAGTGTAAACTGTTCTTAGAGGATACAAGTTTGGTTCCCAGCATTTAATGTCAGGCAACTCACAGCTTCTTGTGCAACCTCGCCTCCTGAAACCTCACCTCCAGAAAACCTAATACCCTCTTCTGGTTTCTGTGGAGTGTTCTCCCTCCCTTCTCTCATACATGTACACACACACACACACACTCACAGAATCTTTTTCTAAAAAGAATTTAATCTTGTTACAGATTTTTTTAGTCTTTTCATATCTGTGTGGGGTATATATACATGTTTGTACATATGTGCTTCTGTATAGGTTGTGTGTGTGCATGTATGTGCATGCCTGTGTGAACCCTAAGGCTGATGTGACAATTCCCTTAGTCATCCCTCCTTATTCTTTAAGGGAAGGTCTTTTAGTTAACCCAAACTGCTCCAGTATGATCATCTTGCTAGCCAACGTGCTCCAAGAGTTCCCTGTCTCTGACTTCCAAAATTGAAATTACAAGCAGACTACCACATCTGCCTCGCATGTGTGTGGGTTCTGGGAATCTGAATTCCTGTTTCCTTGCTTGCACTGCAAACACTGTAATCATAAGTCCATCTTCCCAGGCTTTATTATGTTTTGTTACGGACACAAATTTATTGTGCACTCACTGTATTCCAGATACTTTATTATGAAATGCAGAACGAAACAAACATCACTTTTGTCAAGTAGCGTGTTCTTGCATGAATATATGCTATGGAGTCCTGTGTGGTGGTTCACATCTGTTCCAGCACTTGGGAGGCTGAGGCAGGAGGATTATATTAAATTCATGACCAGCTTTGACTGTATAGTGCATTTCAGGCCAGCCCGGCTAAAGTGAGACCCTGTCTCGTTAAAAATTAACAATCAATGTTATGAGCAAAAGCAAAGCAAGTACTGGGGCAATGATATCTTGGAGGATGGGGAAAGGTTTTCTGAAGAGGTGCTAAGTGAGTGCTTACCCAGTGGAGGTTTATGAGCAGACCAATCAGATAAAAGTTTCAGGAGCCATTGTATGAGTCTTTAATCAGGATCCTGTATGGTGAGATTATTCTGACTACCCATGCACACAGGGAGAGCAAAAGAGTAGAATAACTCAACACATCTCAGTACCCTCAAGGAAATTGGGCCATTTTTTTTAGCCTTATAATAGAGCTCATGTTAGGTCATTTCTTTGCTTACTTAAGAGATTGAGTTTTTACCAAGAAACAACCTGTATAGGAAATAGTTCCTCCTTAATTATTGTGAAAACTTTTAACTGAAAATACCACCGTTCATTTCTTCCACTTGTACTGAAAAAAAAAAATGATTTTATGGCACTGGAGAGATGGCTCAGCAGTTAAGAGCACTGACTGTTCTTCCAGAGGTCCTGAGTTCAATTCCCAGCAACCACATGGTGGCTCACAACCATTTATAATGAGATCTGGTGCCCTCTTCTGGGGTGCAGGTATGCATGCAGGCAGAACACTGTACATAATAAAGAAATAAATCTTTTTTTAAAGAAATGATTTTATAAAATTAAAGATATACACTATTTATTATATGTTTTCAAATATATGTACATGTGTTCCACCTGAAATACCATTTTGACTTTGCTTTCCCAGAGAGGAGCCCATCTGGAAGTGCCTTTGGGAGCCAAGAAAACCTGCGGTGGAGAAAGGACATGACTCACTGGCGCCAGAACACAGAGAAGCTTGATAAGTAATATGACCTTCTAATCTGTTCTGATGCTAGCCATATTTTAAATGCAAAAAGAAAGCGACTTTGCAGAAATTCTTATAAATGTGGCTTTTCCCTTTTGATGACTGTTCCCAGTCCAGGCCAAAATTTTAGATAAAGTATTATCCTCATCCACTCACACTCTCTATGCATACTGCACCAGAACCATAAGGGGAACTTCCATACAAAGTCTCTCCCCCATGTACATTTCCTTATATTCATGGCTGCCTTTTATATGCTTTGTAAATTCAACTACTCTACCCTGCTTACACACATGTAAATTTACCATATTGTGGCTTGGAGGACAAGGCCTCCTTGATAGCCAAATGCATGTTGTGGAGATGTGTGTCCATCATGAGGCACGGGGCTTTATATGAACATCTTTTCAAAATTTGAAAGTATCTTAGGCATGCATGCAGTATTCTGAATGAATTCCTCCCCATAGCCGTTTTGTCGGGATTGTACTCATCCCGCCCTGCCTGTCAGAACAATTGTGTTTTGTTGGAAGAGGAGAGAGCCCAATGTAGTTTTCGTCCCCATTTATAGAACACAAGTCAATGCTGACTGTACATCTGGAGAGCCCCGCTGGGCTACAGGTTCATGTCCACAAGACTGGCTCCTATGGATAGAGGGACCAAGCCACTTGAGACGATTTTGAATACATTCTTAAGGGGAAAAAAAGTAATCACAGGTTTTCCTCTAAAATACTTTTTCCACTTCATATTAGTTGGTAACTCTCAAATTCATTTTGCTTTACTTTGAATAATGGCATTCAAAGATCCTCAACAGTTCTAAAATGGAGCACATCTGAGGCTGCCTGCTATGGGGACGGAACATGAAAAGGCATCGGAAACTTTTGAAATGGAAAACGAGGGGAGAAAATAAAAACCTGTGAGATCAAAAAAAGAGAAAGCGAGTCTTTGTAGCTTTTTATTTTGTTAGTCATATCTTAGAAGATAACTATTTATTTTAAGTTTTAGCTTTAAAACTATTTGAGAAAATAATTTTATGTTATAGTAAAATACATTGCATATTTAAAAACTCATTTATAAATAAATACAGCAAAACTATTTTACCCAACTCATTTTCTGTGGAAAAGACATTTGGCAACTGATTTCAGCATCAAATTGTTTTTCTTTCCCTCTCTAAAGAGTTATAATTGGCAAGAAGTATATTTACACTATACAGTGTGAGTTTTGATGTGTATACAGTTGTGGAATGATTATAATCAGGTTTATTAACATTATTGCCTCATGTTTTATTTCTAATATATGATTCCAGCCTGTCTTGTTTAAGAGTTAAATCACTGGTGGTAGTGCACACCTTTAATCCCAGCCCTCAGGAAGCAGAGGCAAGTGGATCTCTGAGAGTTTGAGGCCAGTCTGGTCTACAAAGTGAGTTCTAAGACAGCCAATGCTACAAAGAGATACCCTGTCCTGAAAAACTAAAAATTAAAGAAGAGTTAAATTACCTTTTGAGAATATTTGTATGAATAGCTAAGCAGAAAATAGATAAAATCTTAGAATAATCGAGTGTTTTTATTTACTAAAGACATTGAAAATGTTTGGAATTGAAGATAAATACCCTTGAATGTTGCTTTACGCACCATAGTAGTATATATTAGCACCACCTAGTGTCTGTGCCAGTGGCTGTAAAAAAAAAATGTTTTTTGCAAAACAAATGCATATGCCCTTAGTGGCACTGTGTTGTTGGGGACAGATATATATATATTGCTGGGCATAGTGGCACTAGGGAGGCAGAGGCAGGTGAATCTCTGAATGGTGAGAACCTGTCTGTGGTGGGGAGGAGAGACAGAGAGTCAGAAAAAGAGGGAGAGAGGTATATGTTACTATACAGTCAACAAGATGTAGGGATCAAAACATTTTAATACATGAATTACTGCCTTTTTCTTCCTTTTTTATGTTTTTGTTCAAGCAAAGTTAATGCTTTCAAGGTTTTTGTTTTAATGAATCTAAGTCATTTTTTATTTCTGGCTTTTTCAAAGATAAGTAAAATTTCTTACAATATTTTGTATTAGGTCAAGAGCAGAGATAGAGCATGAAGCACTGATTGATGGAAACCTGGCTACTGAAGCGAATCTCATCATCTTAGACACATTAGAGATCATCGTTCAGGTAAGGACAGGGAAGAGGAGTGTAAGCAGAGACTCGGCAGGCGGAGATTAGAATCACTGTGACCCTTATAAGGATGTTTGGGCATTAATAGTTATAGGTAGTTCTGAGTAGTCAGTGATTCTCTAGTTGTAAATTTTATTTCTTTCCACAGTTTATAAATGTTTATTTGAAGGTGCTTGTAAAATCTCCATCTCTTTGTCCTTTGCTTTTGGACAAAAAAGAAAAAGTCTTTGGCTTGCTCTTGTGTTTCCAGTAACCACTGTGTATTTATATTGGAATACATTTAACATGCAGTGCAGAGCTATGCTAGGTTTATTCTGTGTCTTCTGTATATTAAGCAGTAGTTTAGGGTTTTTATGTGTAATTTCTCTACTTGGTAATTTTACATAAATGCAAACTGCCTTATCAGTAGCTTTCTAGCCCTTATTACCCTGTTAGTGACAGGCGCCATTTATGGAGTTTTTCAAGCGATGTACTAAGTAAGCACTTCATAAGTTTTAACTTACTTGGTTTTTATAAGAAACAGACAATGGAAACTACCATTGTCCCTATCTTGTAGATAGCAGTAGTTAGCCATAGAGATGGTTAAGCAGTGTCCCATGATCGCCCAGGAAGTAAGTAGAAGAACCAGATGTGAATCTATTACCAGGATGCCCCAGCTGTTTTAGTAAATGTGTCACCGGTTTCTTCCATTCTCTTCCTGTACCATCACTTTGTCATATTCTTAATTCAGTGCTCTTATAATGGCTACTACTTCGTGATGTTCTGTATTTTCTTCATAGCCTGTTCTTTTCATTTTCTTGAGATTATATTTCTTATGTTTCACCGACTTACCCTGACTGAAAATTTTAAAACATAAAAACTTCAGTATTTCTTGGGGCTGGAGAGATAATTCAGCGGTAAGAGCATTTGATGTGCAGTCACGAAGACTGCAGACCAAATTCCCAGCACCACATGACAACCCTATGTCTAGCACATACCTGTAACCTCAGTTCCGAGGACATGGAGACGAGGATCACTGAGGCTTGCTGACTTTCAACCTAGCCGGGAATATAAGCCCAGGGTTAAGAGGGAATAGTCAGGGAGTGGTAGAAGACACTCAGCACCCTTTTCTACCTGTGTACACCTCCACTGTACAAGCAGGCATACAATATGCACAAATTAATAATAAATGGCTTTTTAAAGCCTGTATTTCCTGATTGCTTAATGACCAAAATGGGAAATTCTTTAGATTTTAAAAACTTTTGTTGCGTAAATTTTAATTGCACCACATTGGATGCTAGATGTTAGCCACATATGGCCAGATGTAGCATAAATATAATTGGTCTTAATAATAAAAACCTGGAGTCAGATATTGCGGGTGAAAGCTGAAAGATCAGAGAAGCAGAGCATCCAGCCACTAGTTCTTACCTCTACAAAATCCTCAGACCAAATGGGATATCCTAATGGCATGAGCTCCTGTCTCCTCTCTGCCCAGTCAAATCTCTTCCTGTGTCTACCTCCGTAGTGCTAGAAATAAAAGTGTGTGCCACCCCTGCCTGGCCTCTATGGCTTACTAGTGGCTGGCTCCGCACTCTGATTGTCAGGCAAGCTTTACTATTAAAACACAAACAAAATATCACCACACTTTTTATTTTGGTGCTCTGTTAGTTCGCCTAGATGTAAACTACTAGAAAAAATAGTATGAACAGAAATAGTATTTCCAAGATCGATTATGCAAGGTGCTTGCTCAGGCTTCATTCCTCACTACACTGCCTTTCACTGACTAGAAGAGACTTGGGTTTCTGAGTGTAGAAACACAACTTCTCTTTAGTTCATGTTTGAGGTTAATTCCAAGACTCAGACAAAAGCCAGACTTCTAGATCTTAAAAGGAAGAAAGAAAGGAAATAATTTTTTACATGAAATCAGTGTCATCTGCCATGGGCACTTACTCTAGTTTTTTAGCTCATCTTCTGCATGTGCCTCAAGTCAGATATCCATGTTTATTTATAAATTTTCCTAGAACGTACTTCATGTTTTCTTGCCATTATGTCTGAAATCCCTGCTCCAACTTAAAAGTCTCTGTGGCCTTTTTACTCCTTTTTTTTCTTCCATCCAAATACTGCTCAGCATCTTCTCTTGAAGTCCTCCTGGCTTTTACCATTTCCCTTTCTTGTAAATGTTTGGATTTTTATATGTATTTTACTTACCTACCCACATTATAGGTGCATGCCTGCTTAATGTGTTTGTGTTTCCGTTGCAGACTGTTTCTGTAACAGAATCCAAGGAGAGCATTCTGGGCGGGGTGCTGAAAGTGCTGCTGCAGAGCATGGCCTGCAACCAAAGTGCAGTGTATCTGCAACACTGCTTTGCCACGCAGAGAGCCCTGGTCTCCAAGGTGCGTGATCTTGTACCTGTGGTCTCATGTGACTTTCCTTTCTTCTTTAACACTGCCTAAGGTCATTTGTCACACTCACTGGTCAATATATTGTAAATTAATTTTAAACACTTAATGTGTTTTTAAAAACTTAATGTGTTTACCCTGATCCTCTCTCTGTCTCTGCTTCTGTCTTCAGAACTTGAATTGATCTAAATTATCGGTAATCAGTTTCTTGTCTTAAAATTTTAAAAATCTTAAGATCTTGTTTTGAGAAGAGCCTGAAATCTGGGTGTTGTGGTTTTGAAAATTGACCCTGGGTCCTTGCAATGTGATGCAAACACACTTTCTTTCACTAAGCTCTACCCCAACCATGTATCTTCCTTTTCACCTTGTTCATTAAGAAGTTGATGCACTTTTCACACCCTTTGCTGTCTAAAGGTGGCTCCGTGTTCTGCTGCCTCAGAGGTTTATTTGCTGTTTGCCCCTCCCCCAAAAACGTGCATTTGTATTATTTATTTATTTATTTATTTATTTATTTATTTATTTATTTATTTATTTATTTATGTTGAGCTCTTATATGTTCATGCTGTGTTCACAGTACTGCACTGAGGCCTCACAACAATCTAGATAATATTATTAGGCCTACTTCATGGAGAAAGGAAATTTTCCCAGGGTCACACTGCTACCTAACAAGTGACATCCCCAGTATTTTAGCCTAAGCTGTCTGACTGTGGTGTGCACTCTTGACCTTAATTAAAATAGTCTCTTAACCATTCTTTTTAATTTCTTGGCCAACCGACCAGACTCCCAAGTCAGGCTATATTAATACATCTCTGTATTAAAATCTTCTTCCAGTTTCCTGAGCTCCTGTTTGAGGAAGAGACAGAGCAGTGTGCTGATTTGTGCCTCCGGCTTCTCCGACATTGCAGCAGTAGCATCAGTACCATACGGTCCCATGCTAGTGCCTCTCTTTACCTACTCATGCGGCAGAACTTTGAGATTGGGAATGTAAGTGTCTGCCATGAAAACTGTCTGGGTTCGTAATGAAATGCAGCTTTAATAGACAGGTATTAAGCACTTAGAATGTCTTTATTTCCCATCATGTGGATGTCTTACAAATGTGTGTGCATGCATGTGTGTGGTGTGTTTGGCAATACAACTCACATTGCCACATTTTTATTAGGTGCCAGGTTCTCATCACCCAGAAGAAAAGATTCTAGTAACTTTACAGATTGCATTTAGTTTTTAAAGTCCCTAAAATTTAACTACAGTGACTTAGAGCAGAATGGCAAGGCTGTTGACAAGAGTAGCGTCTTTAGGAAAGAAACGTAGGCAGTTTAGAGGGCAGCGGGGACTGGATTGGGTTTATTCTTTGAAGACTAAGAGAAGAGTGAGTATGGCCTCTAGATTTTTGGTTTGAGGAAGTCAATGAGAAAACAAGGTACACTGGCCATACCTGACTTCAGGTTGTCTGTGCGCTATCCAGATGGAACTGTTGAGTAAAATAGAATGGTCTAGAGCTCTCCAGAGGAGTACAAAGCGAGTGCTAACAAACATGTATGTTCATCCAAGGAAAGGCCTTCTTTAGTACTTACCACATGGGAAGAGATTTTTGACAAAACAAGGAACATTGGTGTTTTAGTTTCTTTTCCTGTTGTCTGGTAAAAACCCTGACAGAAGCAGCTGAAGGGAGAATGGCTTTGTATTCACTCATAATTCAAGGAACAATTCATCATAGCTGGGAAGTCAAGGCATCAAGGGCATAGAGCAGCTGGTCTCTTCAGACAGGGATAAATGCAGGCCACTGTTCTGTTCTCTGTTTATGTTTATGTACTTCAGGGTCCTTTGCTCTGAGAATAGATTAACCTACAGTTAAAAACAAGTTTTCCCACATCAGTGTAATCAAGAGAATCCTAGCAAGCATTCTTAAAAGCTAAGATTAATCAAGACCATCCCTCACAGATATGCCTGAAGGCTCATCTCCTGTGTGATTCTAGAGTTTATTGAGTTAAAAATTAACACTAAACATCACAATTTGAATTTAAAATAGATAGCAGACAAAGAAGACAGAAAATAGTTAAAAAAGAATAAGATGAGCAGGGAACAAAGCTTAGTGTAGAAGCACTTGACTACCTGTGCTGTGCAGAGGCCCTAAACAGTCCCTAGCTCTACACAAAGACTGAGAACCCTGTAGAAAGCAGTGCCACTGAAGGTAAAGCCAGAGATTCTGGGGAGAAGGTGACCAGTACCGTAGATACCACAAGTGGGAAGTAGAAAACTGTCAGACTTGGATTTGGCAGCTAGTTCTAAGAGTGTTATAGTTTCATAGAGAATAATGGAGCAGCAATGAGTTTTTACTATGAAAAAAAGAAGATAAAATGTAAACTCTTAAAAATATCACTGCATAAGAATGCAGTTCACTAAAAAACTAGGATTTCATCATAGCATGGACCTAGTGAAGTAAGCTAGTGTTAAATATTTCTTGTCCCTCTTAGACTATGGATATGGTGGTCAGAGCATAATTTAGTGGTAGAGCATATACTTGTATTATGTTCTCAGTTTCCTGTTCAAGTTCCTGTTTCTAAATTTTTTGTTTCTAATTTTACCTCAATTTAGGTTTTCTTTATGGACTCCATTTCTACTTTCCTGTCTTGAACTATTTTCTTCATTTTATTCCACCATTTGTGTTTTCATAGATTTCCTTAATGGATTCATATCCCCTTAAAGTCCTTGATTATATTCATAATAGCTACTTGGAAGTCTTTGTCTTGTGCTTCAGCTGTGTTGGAATACCCAGGGCCTTTTGTAATAGCCTTCCCGGGCTGCAGGTGGATCTGCACTGTCCTGACTATTGTTTGTGTTTTTACACTGGCATCTAGGCACCTGGGTTTGTGATGACTGTAATTCTAGGTGTTGGTATCTGGTCTTTTGTTGTTGTTGTTGTTGGGTAGATTTTCTGTTCCTCGGTTTCTGTTGCCCTCTGGATCTTAAGAGCAAGTAGAACTTGTGGGCTGCCTGGTAGAGGATGCTTCTGAGTACCTTATGTGTGACCACTGGAGTTCCCAAGCTGACACACAGGAGTTGGGATGGTCTAGAATGTGGGGGTGCTGAGAAGGTCCGTAGGAGGGAGGAAAGCAGGTCTGCCACAAGGATCTGATTCCCCAGAGGAACTGATTTCCTGGTCACCAGTGGGTTTCTAGAAAAAGAGTGTCTCTGGTGTTGGTGGATGAGACAGAGGAGGGGCTGGGAAGGAAGGCTGTAGGAGAGAATCTTCTTAGCTTCCTGGAAGTGGCACAGACAGGAAGGAGGGGCCACAGCAAGTGGTCTGCTACAAAGCTGAGGGTAAGACTAGGGAATTGGAATTTGCAGGCAGGAAGGAGAGTGAAAATCATGTATGTGATTCCTGGCCAGCATGGCAAGGTTCCCAAGAGGGACCATCTCTGGGTGATAGCTGGGTGAAACAAAGGAAGACTATAGGAGAGAATCTGCCTAGTTACCTGGGAGTCTGTTGTGTCCTTTTCAAATTCAGATTTTAATGCATAGATTTCAGATTTCATTACTTTATTTAAAGCATCTTTCCTTCAGAATTTTTTAGATTTTTTTTACCAGATGCTTGATATATCAACAATTTCCCTTCTACAGAACTTTGCCAGAGTGAAAATGCAAGTAACAATGTCACTGTCCTCTTTGGTGGGTACATCTCAGAATTTTAATGAAGAATTCTTAAGACGCTCTCTAAAAACTATTTTGACATATGCTGAAGAAGATCTAGAGTTGAGGGAAACAACATTTCCTGATCAGGTGAGAAATGCTACTATCTATATTTTTAATTCGCAGTAAAACTGCTGAATAGGTACTTTCCAGATTCTTAAATAGTGGTTTTTACTGGAGTATTGTACTTCTTTCCATGGTAACCTAGAGAAGACTGTTTCATAAAACTGTCTTTCGTGTGTGTGTGTGTGTGTGTGCGCGCGCGCGCACATGGGTAAGTGATCTGTGTCTGTGTGCATATATGTGTTCATACATGGGAAGCTCCAAAGGTCAAGATTAGATGTTAGCTCCCTGAACCTGGAGCTCACTAGTTTGGCTAGGATGACTGACCAGTGAGGCGCAACGATCCTCCTGTGTTTACCTCCCTCTGCACTGGAATTATGCCAGTCACCACGCCTTGTGCTGGGGACAAGCTCAAGTTCTCATGCTTGTGTGGAGAGTGCTATTCCAACTGAACCATCTCCACAGACCCTTGTCTTTAAAGTTGTTCATATGGTTGCCGTTTAATTCTGCTCATTTGTAACAGGACAGTGGACTCAGGCAGACTAGACAGTGATGACACACTCCTGCCTGATAGTCCAGTGCTGGTCTGCTTTTAATAAAACCAATTCCACCCAGCTACCCTGTCAGACAGGAGGGAGTTTCCTCGTGTTCTCGCAGTCCTCATTTTCCTGCCTCAGCCCCTGCTCACAGCACCGTGTGCAGTGGGAAAGTCTAGTCTACTGCAGAATGCAGAGCGTATGCCCTCCCTTCGTCACACCCATGTTTTCACTATAACTTGTGTTTCAAATTCTAGAAGCTTCTCTGAAGTGGTTCACAAACTCATTTAATCAATGACAAAATTAATGAGTAACAAAAGAATTTTTCATATGATCTCTACCACAGGTCCAAGATCTGGTTTTTAATCTCCATATGATCCTTTCTGACACTGTTAAAATGAAGGAACACCAGGAGGATCCCGAAATGCTGATTGATCTCATGTACAGGTAGCCTTCCTGTGACTCACTCATTCTTTCCGCTATGGGATTAGTAAGTCACCTGGGAAATGTTTGACGAGAACAAATCTGCAAAAAGTATTGAAGTGACCTTCTAATGTTAATTAAATGGTCAACTGCAATTTTACTTTTTTATGTATGTGTGTAGGTATTTTGCCTGCATGTATGTCTGTGACCATGTATATGTGTGATGTCTGCAGAGGCTGGGAGAATGTTTTTTTGTTTTGTTTTGAGGCAACTTTTAAATATTTTCTGTCACTGCTCTTAAACTGTTCTGTTTGGACCGGAGAGATGCTTCAACAGTTGAGAATACTTGTTACTCTTCCAAAGGACTCAGGTTCAGTTTCCAGCGCCCATGTGACAGATCAGAACCATCTACAGCTGCAGAGCATAGACATACATGAAGGCAAAACACCCATACACATAAAGTAAAAGTTAAAAACTGACTTCAGTTTGCTTGTATGTTATGATTTTGCAGTACAGGGGATTAAAGGTAGAGCCTCATAAGTACAGAATGCTTGTCTAAAGAAAGAAAGAATTTTTAATAAATAAATTTGGTATCTTAGATCTTGACCTTCTTAGAAAATCCCCAAACCCACATTTTAAATATAAAAAACAATCTTTTCAGAAAATACAGTATGTGAATGTTTAATGTAACACAAATTGTCATAATTTCAAATTATGATTGTTTAAAAATAGTGTTTCTAGGTACAGATTTTGAGAATCTTGTTATTCTCATTGTATCTTGATAGACACAGCAGCAAAATCGGGATTTTCCTTTCTATGTGGCCCTCTTTTTCACATTTTTACCCATCATAAGAAACACATGTAAAAGCATTCTCTGCAGACAGAGATGATGTGATGGAGCTCCCTTATATATCTTCTAATTTTCCTTATAGATTATGTGAAATTATCTTATTTTAGATTTAAATATGATAGTTTTCTGAGCAGCCAGGTTTTAATGTAGCATGTCTCTTTACCCCAACCCAAAGCAGTAGTGCCCATTTTAAGTGTCACAGTGATTCTTTCCGTATTCTGTGACATTTCCAGCCACTGAAACACTTACTGTGGCAGGTTTGTGCCGTAGCAGGAACTTGTCTGGTAAACTGCTCAACTCTCTGATTAGAATTGCCAAGGGCTACCAGACCTCTCCAGACCTGCGACTGACCTGGCTTCAGAACATGGCTGGAAAACACTCTGAACGAAGCAATCACGCTGAAGCTGCCCAGTGCCTGGTCCACTCAGCAGCACTGGTCGCTGAATATCTGAGCATGCTGGAGGACCGGAAATACCTTCCTGTTGGCTGTGTAACATTCCAGGTAGGAATTTGTTGTGTGTGTGTGTGTGTGCGCGCGCGATCAAGGTAAATCCTTTAACCTGGTCCTGTGGACTCCTTGAGTTTGTAAGGAAAGCAGGAAGGAGGTAGGTCAGTGGCCAGCACAGTGAGCGGTGCCGATCCTCTTGTTCTGTGTCTGTTCTGAGAATTTAGTCAGAACTTCATGGTACCAGGCATGCACTCTACCCGGGCTGCATCTCCAGCCTATTAAAGAGGACTTAGTTTTTATTTATTTATTTATTTTTTTCAAGACAGTGTCTCTCTATGTAGCCCTGACTATCCTGGAACTTACTCTACAGACCAGGCTGGCCTTGAAGTCAGAGATCCACCTGCTTCCTCCTGAGTGCCGAGATTAAAGGCGTGCACCACCGCCACCCAAGAGGGCTTGGTTTTAAACTGGAAGCTGAAATTAGAGCTTCAGTCCTTGGTCCTCTTAGCTGCTGAGCTTGAGCTGTTTCTTTTCTTTCTCACAAATTAAAAGAGAGAGAGTGTGTTCATTCACGATGTGCCAGGACACCACCTGTGCGGGTCAGACATCAGTCTTTCTCACATGTTTTTTGGGGGAAGTTATCTAGCAATAATTGTAATTTTATTATCTTAAAATAGAGCGTGGTGTAGAGATTTCTGTTTCCCATTGTGAAGGTGTGCACAGGGGCTGAATCCAGGGTCCCACACAGCTGAATGGGCTTCCCCCAGCTTCTTTTCTTTAACTTTAGTGAATAGTTAAATCTAACCATCAGTTATTTCCCTATGTACATTTTTCATGTTAGGAAAGTAGTTCATTGCAAAAATCTTTTCATTATTTTTCCCTAGAATATTTCATCTAATGTGTTAGAAGAATCTGCTGTCTCAGATGATGTGGTGTCTCCAGACGAAGAAGGTATTTGCTCCGGAAAGTACTTTACTGAGTCTGGGCTCGTGGGGTTACTGGAACAAGCCGCCGCTTCCTTCTCTATGGTAGGTGACTGACCCATAAATGGCATGTATGGCAGTGTTCTCTGCCTTGCGACCTTGCCTTTCCTTTGAGAGCTTTTGCTCCACGTGTTTTTAAGAACTCCCCATCCAGATCTGTTACTGCTGCTCTTTGTATCTTAATGGTGTGTGGCTTGCCCCAGCATTTTCATTGGCTTGTTTCTGAACCAGGCCAATCTGGGTTAATCTGCAGCAGTTATTTTCTTTGTTTATAAAATATTTTCTGAAACCTTTAAATTGAAAAAGAAGAAAATAAAACTTCTTTGAGGTTTTTAAGTTCCATTAAGAGTAGACCAACATGACTTTGCAGCATTTCTGCCAGAGGAATTGGAGGTTTCCCTTCCGTCGAGCTGTGCTTGTAGAGCGGTCCTCCCTAGGGAGGTTTTGGAGGACTGGCTCTCGCCCCTCAGAGTGCATCCTGCATCCCTTACCGGCCAGTCTTTGTTCCCTCCCATCTGTATGTGAAGAATTGAAGCTGTCAAGGGGAGCCCAGACAGGACGTTTATAGAAGGAACATAGCCTAACCTTCTTGAGCCTCTTTGATCAAGTCCCTACTTCCATTGATTTTACTGCTTAGTGTTCAGTGTCCCAGCACCAAGGTTCAGGAGACTATAAGGTTCATGGAAGGGTAAGGGCAAAGCTTGAGATGATGTGCATAGCTGCCCTTCTTCCCTGGAATTAGATTTCTTCTCTAGGCCTTGAACCTGTCCTGCAGTGTATTGTTCAGTGCATCAAGTGCAGTCTGCACTCCACACTTAACAGCCGTGTTAGTTCAGGTATCAGTTGTTCAGTCTGTTTATGTCTTGCTTTCCTTGACTGTTAAACACATCTAATAGTAATTTGTACTGCAGGTTAGCATGAGGAAGGAGTAAGTCAGTTCATAGAGAGAGTGTGTGTGTTCATTGCTTTAGTCAGTGCTAGTCCACTGGCGTCATTACCATCTTTAGTGTTATTGTCCTTAGAACCAATGTATTAAGTATAATAATTTTCAAGCTCTTAAAAATATTTTCCAGACTTCAGTCCTTTCAAAAATGTCTTTTCTCTAAGGAACGTGACCATCCCATGCTAGCCTAAAACTGAAGAGAACTAGGTGGGGGGCATGGGGCAAGGTTTTGTTTGTTTGTTTTGTTTTGTTTTTGCTATTAACAGACTAATTTAGTGAATTTTATCTGTGTATCTGTATATGTATATAATTTCAATCATCCAAAGAAGTACATTTAGATTAAAGACTAGTGGTCTGTTGTGCAGAAATTTTTTTGCTAACACATATTATTAATGTGTTAATAATTGATTGTTAATTGATTCTTTTTAATTTAACTAAAATGTTAACTTATTAAGATAATTTGCAGAGTATTTTACTTATGCTAAATTTATTTCCCTATTGAAGCTACATTATTGCTTCAAGGTCCTCCTGTGATCAGTTCTGAAGTGTGTATGACTCGCACTCTTACAGAAAGCACGTTTGCTGAGCTGGGAAGCCCTGGGAAAGCTGCTGTCTCCATAACTACAGTGTAGTCTGCTACGGGCCAGAGCGCAGAGCAGTGCGAGTGCTCGGAACCTCACACTGCCTTAAAGTGTTTCAAGACTTTTCCATGAGTTTCTAGTAAGCAGCTTCCTGTGCCAGCTTACAATTTTCAAAAAGCAAATGATTTAGGTTTTCCCAGAGGCCACAGGTTATCTGATTGTAAGAGAATCGGGGATCTGTGACCAGTGTAATAATTGAATTGGTTCTCAGGAGTGTCTATGCACACATGTTTACCTTAGTGACGTCATTATAGGCTAACCAGGAACAGGTGATTCACCAATGGAAGTATTCATATGTATATATAGTTATAAACACATACCCACTTGAGTCCTTCCAGATGAAAGGATACATTACATAAAATTGGTTTTTAAGCTTTAGTACAATTAAAAATTAGACCTCTTGGAAAAGCTTCAGTGGTGTTATCTTTAAAAGTACAGTGAATTTACAAATTGTAATGACTCTTCTCATTGATCTAAAAAAAAAAGCAGCATCTCACAGACATTATTTCTATAGGCTGGCATGTACGAAGCAGTTAATGAGGTTTACAAAGTACTCATTCCTATTCATGAAGCTAATCGGGATGCAAAGAAGCTCTCCACAATCCATGGTAAACTTCAGGAAGCATTCAGCAAAATCGTTCATCAGGTAACAGTCCCAACTTCTCGCTTTATTATTACGGGGGGAGGGGGGGTCAAGAAACCTTAACACTGCCTGGTGCTCTTGTCTAGCCAGATCCCATGAAATGACCGTTTTACTTGGGCTAAAAGAAGGTTCCTAGCCAAGCTAAGCCCAGATTCATTAACACACAATGAGTGAATTGACCTAAAGTGGTTATGACTATTAGAGACTTCCCAAATGACTCCCCCCCAACTTTTGAATTATTACCATCTAGCAGTGTTTCATGATCTTACTTTATTTTCTGTAATACATTGTAGATTATAATTATGGACCTGATATTTAAATTAATATCTGTTTCTTTGTTGCCAAAAAGCTTTTATGTATAAATTAACTTTTTGTTGAGTGATGTGAAATTCTAACGAAATCTTGGTATCTTTTACTGCTGTGGCTATGTCTGTTTCTCCTACATGTGCACTGTTACCCATAGTGTATTTCTAACATGAAAATAATGAACAAAAAAAAGTTCTTGTGTAATTTGTAAAGTGATTTCAGTACTTTACTTCACTGTGTAGGCCACATTATCACCAAAATTAGAATCAAATTAAACTTCCTTAGAAAGTGAAATTAGTGGCTGGCACTTCTGACCGAGTCATTGGCCCACTGAAATTTTCCTGTTGGCCTCCTCCCTTGCAGTGATCTGCTTCCCTCTCAGCCCCGCCCTCCACAGGGCAGTGGAGCAGTGACCACCCCCTCCTGCAGGCAGCACTGCAGCTGCTGCTCTGTCTACCAGCTCGACCTCAGTGGCCAAGCAGTTAGAGATGAGTTGACAGAATCTGAAAGTAAACTAGGCTGCTCCTGGTAAGCCAGGACTCTATTGTAATCTTATCAGATATTGAAGTTGCAAAAGATTACTTAGGTTTCATGATGATAATAGGTATTTTTAAATAATTATGTACATATACAAGGAACTTCATCTGCCTTGAGAGCTCTTTGATACAAATTATGTGTTTGGTCTGAAACTAGTGGTTTTTCCAGAAAGTTCCATCCATTTGATTGAGTTCCTGGCATTTGGCAAAATTGCAGTGCATGTCCTGTTTAACCTGGATATTTCAGTGGACTGAAATAAGAGATCTGAGTTAGACAGAGAAAGAACAAGCGGTATATTAGGTTCTCGTTCCCTGAAATGTGTCCTTCCACTTAAAAAATACTTTCACTTTTAAGATGTCTTTTCAAAGGTAAATTTTGGATATTGAGTTTTAAACAAATAGGTTATAAAATTTCTGTCTGTCTTAAATGAAGGAATGTTTGCTGTTTGAAATATTTTGTTATCCTCTGTGGTAAGGAATTTGTGGTATGGTACCATGTAACTGAACTTCCTTTGGCCTTTTTTTCTTCTGAACAGTTTTTTATGACTTGCCCTTTTTTTTTTACTTTTTATTACACAGAGTACTGGCTGGGAGGTAGGTAATGTTTTAGTTAGTTAAAGACACTAATAGATGGATTGGACCAGATTTCTTATGCCAATGCTTTGCCCACATGTGCTAGCTGTGGGCATTCTGTTGCTGTCTGCTTATCAACTGAATTCATTAACCAAAGAAATTTTGTTAAATACTGTAAGTTATTCTAAGACCTTCCTGCTGTAGAGGTTCAGGCAGTGCATGGAAGCCTTACACTAATGAGATTCTTTGGTAAATGAGCCACTGTTGTCACTTGAGTTTGTTTTTATCCTTTGGCGCATTTCCTCATCCACACTTAAACACGAATTTCCTTTAACCATGTTGTTTCACTCATTTACAGAGGTCGATTTGTATGATATTGCTCAGAGGTATGAACAGAAAATTGTGTATTTTGTTTGATGCCATCCGTTAGCAGACATACTATTTTCTATGTCTATGTGAAGAGAAAAGTCATTTGTCTGTTAAACTGGGCATCCTGTCAGTAAAGATGGAGGCCAACTCTGGTGATAACTGAAATGTGGGCAGAGAATAGGCATCTTGAATTGAAGAAATTGTGTTTAATTTGATCATGAGTCACTTTGCCTTGTATGTAGCCCACCCCGACCCTCACCCCTGGAAAGAAATCCATTTTGGTCACTTAAATTTAGTTAGGAAAGCAAGATAAAGACATTGAGAAAATGTAAATTTGACTTCATATTCTTATAGTTTATTACTATATAATAAAGACTACATGTACTTCCTTTTATATAGTAGTTAAATTTAGAAAAGTTAAATATAAACTAAATATTATCTGAAATTACCATGGAGAACTGATTATAGTAATTTTTCATCTTTCTGTAAAGGGAGAATACTATAAATTATGCCCTAATAGTGAATAAGGTCTATTTGGGCTAGGTGTGTTGGGAAGATTTTGGCTTTGCCTCTCGGCTTGTCATTAGACCTGTGTTGCCTGAATAGCTAGGCTTCTCTGTTTGGTTCCTTTACAGTCCTTATTTGGGAACAATAGAAAACCGTAGAGACCAATGTGACTACTGGATGTCATTCTATTTCTGAAAAAGCGCTTACCCTCTGCTTATCTTTTCATGAGCTGGTACTTGTAAATCTATGTCCATTCTCCAGATTAAATGTGCCTGCCCTTATTTATGTTTAAAATAGAATCTTTCATTTTGTGGCTTCATCTAGACATAAGCAGAGTCTTGCCACGGCTGTCTTCCAGGGATAAAGTTCCTCATGGATATTCTAGCATGATATAGAATTAACTGAAAACTAGACATAAAAATTAAGAATATATTAAAACCTCTGAGCAGTTTTTTACAAGTCTGCTTGATGCTAAATCGACCCCTGGACAATATTCTTTCCACTGGTTGAGATTAATCCCATTCTCCCATCATGTCACTGCATGGTAAAAGCTGCACAGACCGCGTTTCCTCGTTTGCATTCCTGTCACTGCCTTTACGGATCTTCAGCTTCATAGCATCTGAATTTGTTGCACGTGTGGTTTTGTTTGTTTGTTTGGTTTGGTTTTGTTTTTTTTTTTTTTTTTTTTTTTTGCTATCCCTTGTTAAACTTAAGTGGATGCTTGTGTTTTAAAAATGTGTTTGCTGCCATTTGCTGCTTAAATGTTTTGAAATTCCCCTAATTAAAATGCTTTCTGTTTTCTCTCTCTTGCCCCTGGTTGCTGGCCTCCTCCCTACTTTTACTATTGTCTATTGTGGTAAGTTCCTACCTTGTGAATCTTTTCCTGTTTGACTCTGACAGCTCTTCATTTTTCCTAAAACTGTTTCTTAGCTAATTTCTTAGTATTCTCATACAGCTCTCATTGGATCAATACCTAGTAAGGACAACTTATATATTGTAGAAGGTTTCTTGATTCTGCAATGTTCCTCATTTTACATTCTGTTCTTGATTCGGAGAAATTATGTGACTTCGCAAAGCTTTTTGGAGGGGCAGAGAGAGAGAGAGAGAGAGAGAGAGAGAGAGAGAGAATGTGTGTGTGCGTGTGTGTGTGTGTGTAAGAAAACCCTCAGTCATGATATTTAGCAGTTTACTGAAGTATTTATAAATAGATGATACATTGTGACAAACTCTCCAGAGCTGCCAGTGTTGACTACTGCATTTTGTTCCTCTGTATCTGTTTGCTATTTGCTTTTATATTTATTATTGTTTATCATTTCCCCCCAAAGCCTGTTTGTTGTACTTGGCATAATAGGAAATAAATCATTTCCTATGGTGTGCTTAAATTATGTTTAAAAGAAAATGTTTCATTTCTGTATGAAATGTCATGACCATTTCACATTTTGTGCGCATCCATTTATTTTTAAAAGATGCATTTGCTCATTTGCCAAATAGTTATCAGTCTGTTTGATGAGATCCACCTCTGGAAGCTCATATTTAAAAAAAAAAAAACTCTCTTCAAATATTGATAACATAGTCACATGACATTTCCTCTATTCAAAAATTATCACAGCCTATTTATTTAAATACCATATCCTATTCCATGTAGCTTTTAGAATCCAGAACTGTTAGAGAAAATAAAGTTACTTTATAAGGATAACTCCTGATGTATTACCAAACAGAGCTGTCCCCTAACCTTTGACATAAAGGCATCTGAAGTGATTCCCTTAACTTATTACTAAATTGGATGAACATCATAAATTTCAGTTAATGCTTTGGTTGTTGTGTGCTCAGAAACACTGGCTACATACAGTTTTGGCTTTTACACTAATGTTGAGTTAAATATTGTAATTCATCCAAATAAATCAAATGAATGCAGAATTAGAAACAGCCAATTAAAATGAGAGGAGATGAATGAACACTGGAAGGTTTTATCCCCTTTTCCCTCTCTGTCTCTCTCTCTGAGGATGGAACGTAAAAGTCCTTGGAGGTAGTTGAGTGGGGGATGTGTGACACTTTACAAGAGAGGAAATATGGGTATAAAGCATGCATGGGTCTTTACCTCAGGACCATGTGCTATTTTGGCTGAGGGGGCAGGGAGTGAGAGGGAGTGCTTTGTGCAGTTGGTGCCTCCCTGGTAGTAGACCTTAAGGTGGATCTAGTGAGAACATGCCAAACCATTTTGTTTTGCTTCCTCTGCTGGCGTTGACATCAGCAAACTGTAGGTGATATTGAATATGGCATCTTCTGGGGGGATGGGGATATGTAATGGTCGTAATTTAACCTCTGATAAGAAACTGGCTAGGCTATATCTGAGAAAAGTATGTCTGTTAAGCTACCACTTGACCTTTACATTGGATTGTACAAGAAAGATCTGCAAAATATAAAAAAAAAAAAAAAAAAACAGGTATGGCAGGGCCAGGTGGTGGTGGAGCACGTCTTTGATCCCAGCACTCGGGAGGCAGAGACAGGTAGATCTCTGTGAGTTTGAGGCCAGTCTGGTCTACAAGAGCTAGTTCTAGGACAGCCAGGGCTGTTACACAGAGAAACCCTGTCTCAAAAACAAAACAAAACAAAACAGACACACACAAACAGGCGTGGTAGAGGATGGCACTGTAACATGAAGGAAGATAAACAGAGAAGGGGAGGTAATCCTGTAGTCAGTTACTCAGCAGACGTGTTTATAATCCCAGGACCTAGGAGGCTAAGGTAGGAAGACGGGGTTCAGGGCCAGTCTTCGCTACATAGAAAGTTCCAGGCTATCCTGGATTACAAGAAACACTGTTTTAAAACCAGAAAAAAAGAGTTAAAAATAAATTGAATTACTCAGAGAAATTCACAAGAGTTCTTAAGAAAATCACCAGAGAAGTGACGACAGCTGAAGGTCGTCCTCATGTGTGGGCGTTTGTACTCTGGTATGGACTATGTAGGGGCCTGGATTTTGGTGTCCCATAACATGCCGGAGTTTAACTTTTGCTCCATCCCTTTCTACAGTGTGATCATAGGAAGGTTGTTACTCTCTCACGCTCTTTTTTTTTCTTTCTTTCTTTCTTTTTTTTTTTTGGTTTCTTTTTTTTTTCATCTGTAAGATTAAAAAAATAGTGGTACTAATTACAGAATTCTGCTAAATATTGATGTAATACAAGTAGGCTGGGCATACTGTTGTGTGCCTGTAACTTCAGCATTCTGGTAGCCAGCATAGGCTACAAAAACTAGAAATGAAAAGGAAGTTGATATAATGCATATAGAGTGTTTACAACATAGTAAATACTCAGAAACTGCTGGAGATCACTTTTTATTGTTGCTGTGTTAATGTCATTGTTTTTACCATTACTGTCACTTGAAATATGTTGGTTTGGTTGTTGATATAATGGGGTCAGACCCATAGACTTCATGAATTCTAACGAATGCTGGACTATCCCCCAGCTCCTGTTGAAATCTTCACATAAGAGTTAGGCTAACAGGCCAGGTGCAGTGGCATGTTCCTATAATCCCAGCTATTCCAGAGTAGGGGGCGAGATGGTTACAGTTTGAGGCTAGCCTGGAAATTTTAGTAAGGCCTTGTCTCAAGATAGAAAACCGAAAGGAAAACAAGGCTGAGATGTCATTCATTAGTAGAGGGCTTGCCTAAAGCCCCAGGATCAATCCCCATGTGCCCCTCCCCGTCCGCTCAAAAAAAAAATTAGGTTAATAAAATGCTTCATGTATTATGTTTCCAAGTGGAAATCGTGGCTAGAAGAATCTGATAAATGGTCTTTAAGAAGAATAGACCTAACAGAAGGGAAAGGAGATGACCACTATATAAGATACTGCTGTGCCTGTATGGAAATCAGCTAGCATAGTGGAAACCACTGGATGAAGATAAACAATGCTCCAGGAATGGTGTCATAGTGGAAATATACCACTACTCAACAGAAGGTTGCTTCTTTAGTAAAGAAAACAAAACTAGAACAGACGTAAAATGTGTTTGACTTGGGAGCTAATTTTCTTTGCTGGTGCGTAGCTTCATCACCCACAGAGTCAAGAAAGTCCTGAGTAAAATGCTTAGGAAGAATATGCTATGTGTAGTGTGGAAGTGATCTGAAATTCAGAATAAATTCTGAACAGGAAAGGAAAGAGTGATAAATTGCAGGAAAGTAATTCAAAACAAAAGCAAGTATCAAAACTGAAAAGAAAATTAGTTGAATGTGTTTTACTGAAGATGAAGCTTTGATAAACTGGATACAGTCAGTGAGCTCTAAATTGGAATATGGTTGCTTGGATTATTGGCCTTTCTCTGTCTGTCCTCACCCTCTACACCACACACATACGCGCATGCGTACACACACACACACACACACACACACACACACACACACACACAGAGTCCAGGAACTCCTTGTTATTTCTCTGATGCTCCTGTCTCCTGTTCTCATTGCCTCTGCTCCACCCACATTGTTCTCCATCTTGTTTTTCAACCCAGATAGACTTTTGTCTCAGAGCCTTTGGCTGCAGTAAACTTCCCCCAAGAAATCTATGTGACTAGTTAGCATCTCTCCCCTCAGTCGTCACCTGCTTGGCGAGAGACATCCCTCTCAGCCTTGGGTGAATTCGTGTGTCATAATGCCTTACGTGCCTTAGGCATTCAGTACTCAAATGGACGCTTTCCATCACATCACATATACCCTATTTTATGGCAGGATCTGCTTTTTTCTTCTCTGTCTACTGGAATGTCCCCTCTTTTTTTTTTTACTTTTTTTTTTTTTAAGCCTTGTGGATGACTGGAGCCTTAACTGTGATTTGGCTTCAACAAGATTAATCTTTCATTCTTGACACTACTCCATTAGTTTATACCAATTTATATTGTAATTATTTGATTTCATATTTTATTATTTTGAGGAACAAGTCTTATTTTTATTCTGTTAGAGAAGATTAATGATAGCTAACATAATAATATCAATATGAAAAGTATTTTAAAAGAGGTAGTTAAGTTCTAGTCCGATCCAGGGTCCAGACTAGTAAGACAGTGAGCTCCTGGGTCCCTTCACCAACAGGTCACATCACAATGTTCTGTCTGTTCTGGGATGTCACTAGAAAGATCAATAAAATGGAAGCAAGAAAGTAATCCTTATTATACAAAGGTTGAGAATTGGAAAGTTTAGCTAAGGGAAGCAAGTCCTAATTACTGTCTTTAAATAGTATTAAAGATTTAGAATAACATTTTAAACTGGAAACATTTTGAGCCACATAACTAGAATAGAATATTCTAGTATTTTTAGTTTTAAGAAGTGAGAATTATTTATGTATGAGACATGGTTTGAAAATGAATCATATATTTTGTATATAGTTATCTTGGATGTTTTGTTTATATTCCATGCAATGTCTTCTTGCTTTGATTGTGTCAAGGTATATTATTGGTGGTTCTAATAAAAATTTTCATAAAATTTATTTAATTCATCCAGACATTTCATTTACTATAAGAATCAATTAATATTCATGTTAAATTCAAATGAAGTAACTGAAGAAAATTTTTGTTAGAAATTTCATTTCTTTAGCACCAAAGATATTTTTCTGAGTATGGCTGAGAATATGAGGTTATCATTGTACTTTTCCTCATGTGAGGATTATAAAACTGATAAATTAGGACCCAAGTTTCTCATTTTGATTAATTACTTATATTTGTTATTCAATTTTTAAATGTATTTGCCATCTGGTCTCTTTTGTAAAGCAAAAGTAAATACAAAACAAGTTAGGCTTAAAGAAAATTCAGAGGAACTTAATGCTTTATGTGGTTTAAAAGTAGGGGTCACTGTAAAATTCTTCTGAAACAGTTTAGAACTGTGTGGGAAAAATCCAGATGTTATTCTTATTGAAAGAATTGGTTCTCCCTGAGTTTGTAAGAATCGTGCAGGTTTCTGTCCTTGAACCTGCTAGCAGTGTGTGGTTGATGTTAAGTCATATGACAGCAGTGTGTGCTTCTGAGATGTCAGAAGCAGGATAGTGATTCTTATCATAAAAAGATCAAAAATTGGGAATTTAGTGAGTGCCTTTGGCAGTCTTGAAAATAACAAGTCATCTCAAAATGTTATTATTGCCTTGCACTCACATTTTTTCCTTTCTATTCCACTTTTCCTCTTCCCTATACGTTCACTCAGCAGAATGGCACTGATGAAGTGATTTTTACGTTAATACTTCTGAAGGACTTGGCACCTCACTGATTTTGTACTGTGTGCCAGATGCTCTCCTTGGCTCCTTTAATATACGCAAAGGGACTATGAGAAGGATAGTGTTGACTTAAAAATATATTAGTGTTGTTTTATTTAACTTGGTGTGCTTTCCTATTAAGGCTCAATAAAGAAAATAAATTAATGTAGCCCAACTGTATCAACTTAAAAGCAAAGACCATTTTGTTTTATTTGGTAAAAAAATAAACAGAAAAAGAAACTAATTTGCATAACCATTGTTAGAAATAATGAAGAAAAATCATTTTCTTTGTTTTTACTCTCAATGAAAAAAAAACAATTTAGAGTTAACTTTTTACAGTGTTTTGAAAATTTTACAATATAACAATCTAAGCATGATGTAAAAAACAAAAAGGTTTTATATTAAATTTTCTCATTTTCCTAAACCTAGGATGGTAAGCGGATGTTTGGCACCTATTTCCGTGTTGGTTTTTATGGAACCAAGTTCGGGGATTTGGATGAACAGGAGTTTGTGTACAAGGAGCCTGCAATAACCAAACTCGCAGAGATTTCTCACAGATTGGAGGTGAATGCTGGTGCTTCACGAATATCATTTTATATTTCTACAATGAATAGACTTTCATATCCAGTTTTTAATTATTAAATAAGCCAGATAAAAGACTTGTATGGTATATAAGAATTTTTGAGAGGTAAACTTAACACCTTTTCAAAGCCTTCTATTCTTTTATGACAACAGTAAATTGTTATTAGCTATACTTTTGAGGCTTTATTTTCACACAAATTTTCTAAGCTACTTTATCCTTCAGAATTACTCCAGAGTTTGTCTACACTTACAAAAGAGACAAGATATTAAGTAGCTGTATGTGATGTGTTTGAAAGCAGAGGTCCAGGAAATCGCTTACTCGAGTGTAACCATCCAGTGAGATGTCTTCCAAGATTCCCGCTGTGGTCACGCCTGGAAACCCTCATAGAATCCCTTCTGGAGAGCTCCTTCCTTCTAGATGACCGCTGTGTTCATTGAGTTAACACATCTTTCCTTTCCAGTTGCTCCTCTGACCCTTCTTTTACTGTTCCAAGTGTGGCTTGTGCCTCGAGTCTATTAGTGTCACCCAGGAGATTGCTTCAAATGTAGAATCCTAGCTCCCACCTCAGACTAAATCAGAGTCTACATTTTGACAGGATCTCCGAGAGACTTGTGTGTACAGAGCAGCTTGGGAAACAGGCCTCTCGGCTTTGTTTCTCTTCTCTGCTGGTCTTGATCCTTACAGCCCACTTTACTCTGCGTAGTTTTCATAATCTGGCTCAAACTATGACTTTTTATCTTTTATGAATTAGGTAAGTCTTGAGAAATTTTGAGACCACATTTCCCAAACTTTATCATACGAAGCCCCTTTGTGGGAGGTGTGGGGCTAATGTGTGGAGAGCTCCTGAGTGGCTGGACTCACAGGTCACCTTCTTCCTTCATTGGCTTAGTTTTCCTTCTGAAGAGCCATGACCACTGCCCAAGCTGCGGCTCAGTCTTGTTTCTTTTGATGACCCCTTGTAAAAACCTGAGTTTTTATTGAAGAAAAAATTCTTTGACTGTTATTTAATTGTATAGATGGAAATGATATAGTTAGAACAAAACTTGCCAAATCTCCCAGTCTTGCTGAGGCATCTCCCTCCAGGACCTACTCTGGTTTACTAATCCTAGGAAATTCATGTAAAAGATTACCTTCTCTTCATTACAGGGATTTTATGGAGAAAGATTTGGAGAGGATGTGGTTGAAGTCATCAAGGACTCTAATCCTGTAGA